GAAGTAGTGCAGAAGGCCAACGGAGGCCTGGAGGGGAACGTCAAGCAGATGTGGGAAGGCATTAGTGGGATGGTAAAAAAGACCGCGCAAGGGGGGGATACAGGGGTAGCAACATTGCGAAGTGTGAACGGTGGACTAGTCAGCAGTGGGAAGGGAAAAAGGGAAGTTCTAGCAGGACACTACAAGAGACTTGGAGTGCCTTCGGAGAATGAAGATTTTGACCAAGTGTTTAAGAAGGAGGTGGACGCATGGGCCCAGAAAGAAGAAGAGACATCGAAGGCAGACGTTGGGAACGTAGAACTAGAAAAGGAGTTCACTGAGGACGAGGTTGAGGCGTGTGTGAACAAGCTGCAGTGCCACAAAGCAGCAGGGGCGGATGGGATAGTAAACGAGTTCATGAAGTTTGGGGGCAAGGGGATGATCCAGCTGATGGTACTGCTGTACAACTGGGTGTGGAAAAACGAGTATGCGCCAAGTAGATGGAGGGAAGGAGTGGTTGTGAACTTGTTTAAGAAAGGAGACAAGACTGACCCAGGAAACTACAGGGGTATCACACTGTTGAACACAGTAGGAAAAGTGTTCTGTAAGCTGCTGAACGATAGGATAGTGGGAGTATTGGAGAAGAAACGTAGCATTAGTGAGGGTCAGGCAGGTTTCCGACAGAAGAGGGGGTGCGTAGACCACGCATTCACGGTAGGGAGAATCATCCAAGGTAGAAAGAGGGCGGGCAAGCGGACGTACTGCTTCTTCCTGGACGTGAAAAAGGCATACGATACCGTATGGAGAAATGGGCTGTGGAAACAATTGTCCAAGTACGGGATCAAGGGGAAAATGTGGAGGGTGCTGAAGAAGATGACAGAGTGTACGAAAAGCGCGGTCATGCTAGACGGAGAACTGTCTAAATTCTTCGACATTGAGCAAGGGGTTCCACAAGGTTGCACGCTGTCCCCAACATTGTTCCAGGTGTTCATCAACGATCTGTTGGAAGTCGTAGAGGCAGTCCGGAAGGGAGTAAAAGTAGGGGACACGGAAACTTCGGTGTCAGGAATGCTGTTTGCGGATGACTTTGTTGGTATGTCGGACACCCCTGAGGGACTGCAACTGCAAATTGACGCGGCGAAGAAGTTTACTGATAAGTGGAGATTGTCTGCCAACGTTACGAAGAGTGCCGTCATGGTATGCAACGAGGGCAGGGAGGCACCAGTAGAACATAGATGGAAGTGGGGGATCGAGGAGATTGCAGTAGTGGACCAGTACACATACCTCGGAGTAGAGATCGCAAAAGATTGCTCGTGGAATGCACACATGTCCAAGGTAGCGGAAAAGGGCAAAGCACGAGCAGGGAAGCTGCACCCAATACTCGCAAACCGGCACCTTGATACACGCATCAAACTGACGGTCTTGAAGAGCGTAATCGTACCGCCGCTGGAGTACGCCGGAGAAGTATGGGAAGGAAATAAGAAGGTAGTGAAAGAACTCGAGGCGGCGCAGATGAAAGCAGCGAAAATCATCCTAGGATGCTCCAAGCGCACAAGTAATGCAGCAGTCAGGGCAGAATTGGGGATCCAATCCTTACGGTCGGGAAGAGACGTAAGGAAGCTGACATGGCAGTACCGCATGTGCGGGATGGGAGAGGAGAGGTTGCCGAGAATAGTATGGGAGGCGAAGTGGGCAAACAAAAAGAGGGGTAGACAACCCACGGAATGGGTCAAGGTTGTAGAGGACGTATGGAAGGGATTGGACATCGACGAAGATGAAACGCTGGAAACGGAGGGTCTACAGGGGTTCAAGAAGAAGATATCTGTTGCTTGTGCCGAGAGAGAAGAACAGAATCTAAGGAAAGAAACCAAGGATAAGGAGGGTCTAGAAGTGTACGGAATGTTGAAAGAAGGAATAGGGTTCAAGGATTACCTACATGGACCAATGGATGCAGGGACAAAGCTTAAGGTCAAATTCAGGACCGGGGACATAGGCCTTCGCGAACGTCGACGAAGACATAGGACGGTAGACGACGAAGACGACAAGTTCAAATGCGATTGCGGCTTCGAATGCGAAGACAGTGTTCATGTAGTCGCGGAATGTCCGTGGTACGAAAAGGAGAGGGAAGTGTACATGACTGAGCTGGGAAGAATACAAGGGACGTACAGGGAGATGTTTGAGGCATGGAATAGAGAGGAGAGGACGGTAGCGGTACTGGGGAGTAGAAAGTGGTTTGAAAAAGCGGGAAGTGACATCGGTAGGATAGACAGACTAGGAAAGAAATTTTTGAGCCACCTTTGGCAAAGTAGGAAGGAACGATTGACCATCGGTGATCGGTCCTGTGGGAACAATGCTCCGTCCTCTCGAGGACGCGTGGTCAATGGTCTAACCGCTAAGGCATGCAAAGCATAAGAGTACGCCCCCCCCCCCCCCGCCCCCCGGGTCTAACACGCTAAGTAAGGAAGATCGACAGCATCGCTGGGCTTCTGCCCCCCTCTTCCTCGTCGGAGGCTGGATTGGTGCGCATGCACTCTTCTGCATCATCAGCACCTTCGCGTGCTGCTGCGTGCTGCTGAGAGTACCTCAGCAGCAGGCTGCTGAGCCAGCGTGGTGGCTGCCCCATTGGCGCTCGTTGCTGTGCCAACTTTGTCAGCCGCAGGTGTTGAACCTTGCTCGTGTTGACGGAAGAACGAGGTTACGATCGGGCGAGCCATTGCTGCGGTCGAAACAGCTGCCGAACGAGCAGAGATAACTGCAGTGGGATTCTGCTCTCCCTACACGTTCATGTCATTGGAGATCTCCATCCGGGGCGGTTGCCCCGTACCCAGAGCGTGTGTTGGGTGTGTTCCCTGCTGAGCCATCCTGTGGGTGATCAGCGGCCACTGACTGATGCTTGTTCATCACCGGGGTCATATTAGTGGGGGCTCCGTGATTACATGCAGCCTAACCTCAGGGGGTGCATTATCTTTTGTAAGTTACCTATACAGATGTTTTTGTACTTAGCACCAGCTGGCATCACTGATATAAATAATCAGTGTATAGACTTGAAAAGACTCGAAATAAGTCCAGTACCCAGCCGGTTTTCCTCCACTCACTGACAAGACTCCAACAACATCCCGTTCGACTGTGGGTATATCTCGAATGGGTAGTCTTTCTGTGTGTGTATTTATTTTTCCTTAAATCTTTTGTAACCCGGGTAGTATTTTAGCTCTTCGTTTGAGATCCAAGAATATTAGCACAGGGTGTGGTATTCTGTGGGGGGTGCCTTATCTTATGTGGGTGTGATGTGTCGTATACGGTATACTCAAGTGTTGGTGCGCAGGGCAAATGCCGCTCACCTGCTGTTCCACGACGCGAAGGCATTTGCCTCAGAAAGCTGATGCTACTCTGCCGAAAGTAGTAAATAGTAGTTGTAGTTGTTGCTGTCTTCACATTAGAAACCGTTCCGTTCTCTCTACCCAGTACCTTCTTCTGTCCGACTAGAACAGTTGACGCGGTCGATTCCCGTGGTCACAGGCTAGCTTACCCAATAATGGTACACGAACACAATGGCTCTTGTTTTTTCTATACCATGCATTATTGGGTAGTCTAGGAAGTCGTAGAAATCAACGACAAATAGTCTAGGACTCTCCGCTCGCCTCTGCATGCTATGCGCGGTAACCATAGACTGGAAAAAGGAAAGAAAAAGAAAATAATAAAGAAAAAAGCAGAGGGGGAAAAGGGAAAGAGAAAGACACAGAGAAGACACACTCCAGAGCCACTACCGTAGCGAATATAGCTCGACTTATAGAGCGTAGCATGGATGTAGTCCGTACGAGCCCAACCTGTCTCACGACGCCAACGAATGAGCGTTTCTTTGTGCTTTAGGTGCTCAACACAAATGATGAAAGGTATCCGACGGCGCAAATGCTGTTGGATAGAATGATACACGGAAGGGAGATATGTTGGTCGGGTCTTACGCTGCCTGTATCCGGACGTCGACTTACGGTCCATTGTTGCGTTTTTGCTTGGTTCGCTCGTGTTTTATGCACAGGTACTCGAGGAAGGCGTGACCGCAACCTGTCTTAAACGCGCCGTTCCACGATGAACCACAGCGTTTAGCTGAGAACTCCAAGGCCAGCTGGTATACATTTCGGGGGGGGAGGTGATATCGGCGATTTCGCAAATGAAAGGCGGAAAGAACACAGGTTCACACTGTAGTCTGCTGGGCCACCTTTATCTGTATTATTGTGTATTGCATGGAATGCACCGGCTTTTCAGGTTTCATGGTGAAAATATTTGGTTTCCTCTCGCGGATAAAGAGGGCCACGAATAGGTAGTGGGGGCCATCACCATGCATCTGTGGGGGAAGAAACTCACAACTTCTCCGCAACAGCTGCACGACGTCTGTATCCTTGGTGGCGGCACGTGTTGGATCGCTGTGCTACATGTGGATGGATTTGCCACATACATGGCGCTGGGCGGCCATGCGTGAGAAACACGGCGCTTCACTCTGGGTACACCTCTTCGTGCCCGTTGGATATTTCTGCTGCGCGACTGTGGGTTCCGGTACCCTTGGCAATCTCGACTGCATGAAGACGTACTCCCCGCACATGTGGGATGCTTGACGTACTTCGATGTTGTGAGGTTTCGGGGTCCTCACGACTAGGTTGCAAGATATATTGCTACTTTACCGCCCGCGGCTTGGGTTTCTTTATTCCTAGGTTATGCTACGAATGACAGCTATATAGGTTTTAGTGTAGGGGTTCTTATCCGCGCTCACAAATGGTGCTCAATTTCCTAGATTTTGAGTTTTTCGAGGCTCAATTTCTTGACTGCGAGCGCTAACCGTAGTTCTTAATTGGGCGTGATTAAGACGTGTTTGATCACAAGCTCCGAAAACGTTGACTGTAAACACATGACGTAACACAACCTTCATGGTCAGATCATACGCGTGTAAAGCCCTTGCTCGTTGGGTTCGGATCCGGCATTATTGACCATCGCGAATAGCATCAAAGTGCATGAAGGGCAGCACTAACTTCGAGATGAAGTGGTACTGCGCCACAACTCACACACCGAAGGGTTAAGGACGTCCCTGTAGTTGATGGACTACATTTCCCCCAGGTCGGATTGTGGGCAGAAACCCACACCTCTTTGCCGCAAGAGTATGTACCTCACGCCGACGGACGCACCAGGAAAACGTTACAACGTACGCGCTGAAATATACCACAGCACCCATAATGATGTTGGGACAATCACTCCGCCGCTGCCTTGTCGATCGAAAGAACACAGAATCAAACGCGAAAAAGCGCCAAAGATCGAGGCACTCGATGCTACGCGAACGTTCCTACACTTAACAGCAGCGTGCTGGCGTCAATACATGTCTAGCATGGAGGTAGGTGGAGGTCTGGTGGAAGATCACCCCCTTGCGGATAGCTTGGCTGCGCACCGGCACGCGTTACGGTCACAGACGCCACCCTGCACGAAAACATCCGGAAGTCGGAGGGCGGGTAGGTGGAGCTTTAAGAACTCCCAAAGCCAACAAGAGCATGCCATGGGCGTTCATTAGAAAGCGAGTGCCCGCAGGGTGATGAGTGCGACTTCGTTCATCAGGTAGCTTGCGATTAGTCCAACAGCTGTAAAATTGGAGCACAGGAAAAAATTGGGGTGGTGATTCGCGGTCAGAAATTATTATATTACCCTGTGACCGAAAGTCCACGAAAGAAAAGCAGAAATCGCTTGAAGTCAAACAATGACCTCAACAACTGTGCCGCACATGACGGGCGACTACATCTGGCGCCCGCAGTTTAGGAACATCAGTTTAGGTTCCAGACTCGATGTGCAATGCCGGATTCTTTTGATTTCTTCAAGAACCATTTTGTTGTTCCTTTGCCTCCCGTCACCGCTCATCGTAATCAGCCTCTTCTTATCTCCGGCCATAGAAACGAACTTCCACCAGCTGCAAGAAAGCAATTTACGGTGCCGGGTCTCGCTGTCGCTTCGAGTTCAAGGTGTTTGCCACCCCCGCCAAAAGAAGGGCCGATGTCCAAAAGAGGCGCAAAACGGTATGAGGGGGTGGTTTGCCCCCCACGACAGCGTTTGCTTGCGTCCCATCACAGGTATGATGTGTATACCAGCATCTTGAATGACTACGCGTATCTCGCCCCCCAGTTGCAGACGGACAACAAACGCACTAGTCTGTCTTCGCGAAACACGGGCGTCGTGTCGATGGACTACAGCATGACGAGCATCCAACGAATGCCTGCGCCCCCTACAGCACGGTGTGCTTCTTTTTTCATACCTGACCGCCTTTCCAATAGCGTCCTCCAATGCCATTCCTCTTGCGAGGTACGCCCCTAGAGAGCCGAGAAAGGCATCGCCGGCCCCAACGGTGTCTGTGGCGTACACTTTGTCTGCCGGGAACCGCTGGCACCCCTCAGAGGTAGAGGAGACCAGCATGCAACCGTTACTCCCCAGAGTCACCACCACGTTCTTGGCGCCTGGTGAACGCCGAGGGGGTGTGTGGTGGTAACGGCATGTTCGATCAGGCGCGGCCCGAACCTTCGGAACAAACAGTTAAATAATTTATTGCAAGAAGGACAAGGCTGGTCAAATACAGCAATACGAGCGCGGATTGCAGCCATAGCATTCAGGGGCTCAAGAACGGAGCAGCATGGCAAGAGAGAGCAGCTGGGGCCATGGCCCTAGGCACCGCTTGCGTCATGCTTCGAAGTACATGCTCGATACCTCGCGCGAGTAGCTCCCTCGCCCCAGCTATGACGCTCTCATCGTCCTCCGGGTCGATGTCCCCCTTGCACAGCAGCGCCAGCTCGGTCTCGTTCGGACACAGTATATCCGACAGCTCGAGATACCTTCGGTGGGTGCGTGCGTGAGTGCGTTTGGGCACAGGAAATGGTTTCACTCTCGCATCTCTCCCTTTCTCCGTTTCTGCTATCAGCTGTGGCAACTCCGGTAAGACGCGATGGAAACACATCTATGCAAACCGCGTCATATTCGAAGGCTGACCTGTTGAATAGGTTACGAATAGCATGGGTGAAACAAGGATATGAAGCATCAAGATTCACGTAGAATCGAAGATTACCATCATTCTTTGCGCCATGAAACCGAAAGGAAACGCGAGCAAAATAAACACCAGATCTACCTCACAAAAACATGGTGTACCTGCGTAAACAAATCAAACGTAAACAACTTGCTAGACGAACTCTATCTTGCTATTCTCGTTGGAGTTTCAACTTGGCGCCGCCTGTACGAAACCGGAGGTCAACAATCCCGACCAGGTAAGCTAGATCTATGGCAATACCTATATACCTATCCGGGAGGTCGGCTTGCGCCGGTGCAGGGTTAAAGATCGTCGTCATCCCCGCCGCCCGTCCACGCTCCAGTGCCGCCAGGGTGGCCTCTGGTCGCACCTCCGACTGGCACTGCACGAGCGCCGAAGTAGATGAAAACATGCACATAAATCCTTGAGCCGACGGCTAAGCATCAAGCTGAGTTTCGCGCAGAACAGAAGAACATGCCCAGCAGAAGTTTTTCAACACGTGTAGAAGTGGGCGGAACGATTTACAGGAAGATTGAGACAGATAAAACCTAGTGCGGAACGGAGGCTTGTGGACCAACATAAGAGGTAGACTGTGCCGCAGGTAATCTGTTGCTGGGGAGTGATGTGGACGCTGCAAAACGACCAGTGCGAGCCCGCCCTTTGATATATTGTACTACGAAATCCTGATAGTCCATCGTCTTTTCTCATGCATGAAAATCAGCCACGTCCAGTTGAACACGCGACCGCACACCGCGGGCAACGACCATGCCAGTCCTAGAAACTCTCCCAAGCTACGTCTCATTCACCCATATGCGGCAGTAAATGAATCAGTTCAACAATACGTACATCAAAGATCCGTCTTACATGATCAATACCCGTCGTGGGCAAACCCTACCTACCATAATAATCTTGGCGTCCTTCAGCCTGTTCGTTGCAGCGGCCACGTCTTCGGGGGAGAGCAGATAATTTGCCCCGGGCACGATAACGATGAAGTTTCCCCCTCCACCACCCCCCTCGCTTCCGCCTGCCTCCTCCACGCAGATCTGAGGTAGCGGCCGTCCAGCGACACGTTAGTAGGCCATACCATGCCAGTTTCTGTAAGGGGCGACACCATTTCTGCTGTAAACTACCACTAATAGATGGTTATTGTTTACCTATCTGTTTTCTGGTGTAAAGGCGGTTGGTCGTAAACAATAATCATCGGCTTTTCCACCCGTACAACAAACATAGGCGACGTGGGTTTCCCGACCGGGGTATTCGCTGTCCATACCCCGAACTCTACCGTATGCCCTTATCGAGAAACCGCCCGTTGAGACATGACTTAAACGCCGTGTTGGCACCGAACACCAAACGTACGTGTGGTAGCTCGCAAAGACGGGTACACGGGGTTGTACGCATATAATGTGGCATACGGTTCAACACCACCTCCAACACACACCTGAGCAACACCGGTAGCAGCTCCCGCATCCCGGCGGACGCTCCCGCAGTCTATCCCGTCGTCGCAGAGGCTCTTGACGTAGTCAGATCCGTACCAATCGTCGCCCAGACAGGCCACCATCGCCACGCCGACCCCCATGCGCCTAGCCATCACGGCCTTTCGTTTGTGGAAATTGGGGCGGGTGTGAGCTTATCACACTATTTTAGGACAAACTTATCCTTCTTTCTTTCGCACAACGCACCTGATGTTTACGGGCCCTCAGAGACATGATTCGTGTGCCTCGAAACCATGGGTGTGTACACTACGATGTACAAGTGATACCTTCATCTCCTTTTTACCGAAATACATGCCGTTGGCGTTCAATGCACTCTCGTTTACAAGGCGATGTGTACGCCGTGGAGATACTTCAACAGAAAACAAACACAATACACAAAGACGCACACAGGGTCTAAAAGAGGCCTCAAAGCTCAAGGTCTCAAGATGGTTCAAATCCTTGGTTGCTTTTCCTCATAAACTTCTAACCCTAAATCGCCCTCAGCCGTCAGAGTGCATGTCATGGGTCTTGAGTTTTTCTCCTCTCGTGCCTCCTGATGAATGTCTGCGAGATTCACACCTGATTGGCCCCCTTGCCGCCATTGTGAGTCTCGAAGCGGCTTCCCGTGATGGTTTCTCCTGGGACGCGGATAATCATGAAAATGTTCCGCGGGGACTCCGTCAGCCCGTATTTCCGCGGTCGAGGCGCATCTTCGTGCGACAACGAACAGCAATATCCTCCCCAAACCCAAAAACATCACGTCTGCAATCAAACAAAAAATACCCTCGTTTCTGAGAACCATGTTGTTGGTGCCATCGCTGATATGTACGGGGGCAGACTGCTGCTGGAGCCCTGAACCGTTAGTCTCAACGTACACGTGCAGGGTTTCTGTGCGGAGAGATTATTCATGCAACCTGCGTACAAACAAAAAAAAAAAAAATCATGGGCGAAGTCTTCTTGCCGTGACAGGTGCAGGTCTACGTTTGCATACATGTTTCCATAGATCTGTACCGGGGTCACAATAGATAATTAACGATTCTCACCCCGGCTAGGTAGTCGAGATGTGTAGGTCATCAGATCCGTGTTGCAGGAGCCAACCACGATCACTTCGGCGTGTTGATCTCTTCCCGACATGGTGGGCACTGGGGACCTCATCAGCGGGACCTTCTTTAGTGCAAGTTGTCCAGCAACAGCAGCAACAGAACTTCGGGCAATGAACGCAAAGGCTCTGTCGCCGGCCTGAAGCAGAACAGTAGCAGCAACCGCTACGAGGCGGCTCGGGTACATCCGGACGGCTCCAGGACGCACGACGACGTGGGCGGAGGGGCGATACAAGGCACAAGGCACCAAATACGACCCCTCCGCAATAACGCCCTTGGAACCATGCATGCATGAAACCTTCCGAAGCGTTGTGGAGAGAACTGGTACTCTGGGGTACTGGTTCTGCCTCTTCCTTGCTAACAGGCTCAGCCTTGTCAGAAGTGCATGCGCTTGTGTTCAAGCGTCTTTGTGTTCGGCACGGTTGTTTTTGGGTGTCTTATTATTGACTCTCGGCAATCTTGCTATCAGCTCTGTACGGCGAGACTGAGGGCAAAGCTTTATGAGTGATTCATGTGCGAGGCTTAACGGAGCCAAGCTTCCGGACGGTCCAACTGCAACCAAGCGTTACAAACAGTCGCACGTCAGTCCGTGGTCTGCGATTCTCCTACTACTACACAACAACCATCTGATTGATTGCACTTATCCAATGAAATGCACAAACACATGTTACTGGCTTACTCTCATACTCCTGGGTCTACGCTCGTGAATGCCTAGGCCCTAGGTCCGATGCATCCAGCTGGCCACATCAGCCCTAGGTCTACGCTACTTGGTTGGTCGGTCCAGTCGTCTAGACACTCAGAAATATGTCGACCGTTTCAGATAATAACCAATAACGCCTCACGAACTAGACTGAAACCCATTCTCGCCACATCAGCCCACCCTGATCATAAGTAAATCTACTAGATGATTTCGCTTATGAACAACTCAAAGTCAAGTGAGATGGTAGATGTTTTCAACCACTTCACACCTAAAGTATATCCTAAAATATTCAAATTTTCTTCCAAAACAAATAAAACACAAATATCGCCAAGTCTCTCATTCCATTCTTCTTGCGCATCGATTAATGTACGCATTCTCCATGATTCATCAGCGAATTTCAACATAAAACTCGTCAGACACACCACAACATCCAACACACAGGCTTCCAACATACATCATCAGACGCACAACCACTGCACATCACCCACACACACACATAACAACATAACATCAACATACATATAAACAAATACCTAGGCCCTCTTGAACTAAAACAATCGTCAGGGTATAAATCTCAGAACCCTTAACAACCATTCGGAACCTCCATCTTCAGTTCTCGTCGATGATCTTCTTCAGTCTTGAGTGTCCTGGTCGATGATCTTCTTAGTCTTGAGTGCTCTTTCTTGTCGACGATCTTCTTCCGTCTTCAGTCCAGGGTGTACCGGAAACTCTTAACGCTGTCTCGCCCCCTTAACCTGGTGTGAACATGCCAGCACCAAGTCCCCGGTTCTTCATCGAATGTCTTCAGAGTCTCCAAACTCAGGTGTACATTCTCTTGCCGCGCAAGATCCAAGAACTTCACGGTGTGTGGGTTCTCCACGCTCTCCCCATCCTCCGCCACCATGATTACCTTCGCGATCTGCCATCCAAAATCGCGGGTTTTGAAATAAATGTAAGACCCGATAATATCAGTGCCATATAGGGTGGGCCGCTCACGCATATCACAGCACACCTTAAACCCATCAGGCACATGTCTTCCACCATTAAGCCTGGCCTCGGCTCTCTTTGCACATTGGACACGGTATCTTCGGTACTTCGCGTTTTCACCACCGACCAACTCGATTTTTCCCGTCCAATACCTCATAACGGAATTACCGTACTGTTTCAATTCCTCCTCGTGCTCCCAAGTGCACAGTTCGGTTTCGTCCCAATCAATGTGTGTAATATTGAACCGCAATCTTTCCTGACAATCCTCGCACCAGCCTATGCTTGGATATTTTCCATGGCACATTACGGTGCGTGTCCAAGTTTATCTGCACGTCTTCTCCCGTAAGATGGGAAGGCGGTGATAACTCAGAGTATTTGTTCAGAACATAATTACTCATAGCCCACGGTAAAAACCTTGGTTTGTCATCCTCCGAATGGAGGTTAAAACATTTCTTCACCCTCAATACAGATACCCGAGATGTTATGTCTTTTCCCGGTTCATCCTTTCGTACATCTAAGAGCACCAGTTTAGGCCCCACTTCTCGGCCATCAGGCGCGGTTCCAGGTCCAACAAATAGCACCCGGTAGGTCCAGTCCAACAGTATGCCAACTTGGACACCAAAGCAAAGGATTTTCTCTCTCCAGACTTGATTGTTTGAGGCTTCAGCACATGTTTCCCTCCTCCAGTTATAGTGCTTTGATCATTGTACAACCACACCCAATCATTCGCCTCAATTTTAGGGCGTCTGGTTTTGAGCTCCTTCACCAAAGCTTCGTTAGCCTTAGCGTGTTTAGCTTTGATCAACCGGTCTCCTTCTTTAACCAGATCATAGGCTTTAACTTGTCTAGCCCTCATTAATTCAAGATAGTCGAGCTGATCTTGTTTAAAGCTCTGGTGACCCTTCACCCCACGACCTTCCAAGATCGTCATCGGTAATCTGGTATATCGACCTATGTGGATCTCATTGGGAGATAATCCGGTTCCCCTGCTCATGTTGTTATTGTGTGCTGCAATTGCAGTACTCAAATATTCATCCCAATTCTTCTGGTCATCCGCAATTAAATGAGACAACATTTGACATAGGGTATGATTCAGACGTTCCACCATGCCATTCGTCTGTGGGTGATATGAGCTAGTAAACATTTTCACCGTTTCCTGCATCCGATATATCTCCCTGCTCACAGGTGCGGTAAACTCTGCCCCTCTGTCAGACAGAAAGGTGTGCGGACAACCCCATCTAGGGATATACTGTTGCACCAGTATTGCGGAACATCCCTGAGCTGTCTTTTCTGCAGCGGTTAATGCATATGCTTCAGCATATCTGCTAAACAGATCAACCACCAGAAACACATACTGTCTCCCTTTCTTGGTTTGTGGTAAAGGTCCGAAGAAATCAAAGGCCACCATCTCACCGGGCCTACTCGGCAAAGGTAAAGATACTAGGGGCCATCTTCTAGTATGCCTAGGAGTCTTCCTCGCTTGACATGCGTAACAAGCTCGGCACCACCACTTTACACTTTGACTCTGCCCTATCCACCAATAATATCGTTTAAGGATTCCGAGAGTAACCTTCTCACCTAGGTGTATCGCTTCCTTGTGAGCGCAGTCCATCACCCAAGGTCGCAAAAGCATCGGCACGTTGGTACGAACAGGCTCTTCTCCCAATATTCGTTCGTACTCCCCAGGATTCCTGTTAGGACGTTCAGCGGGCATTGCGGTTAACTTCTTGACCAACAATTTCTGTCCATCAGGTATCTCCAAGAGTTCGCCTTGTGCCAATATTCTTTTTATTTCATCAACGAAACTTGACAGTCAACTACAAATCTGTCAAGTCTTCTATAGGTATGAACAACGACCAATTTGCTACTATGACGTTCGAGTACATTTTCCCACCCTCGGACCCAATGATCCTGGGAAAAGTCTTGCGCGCTCACACGAATCTGATCGACCGACTTCGTGATGGCCGTCGATAGTTGGACAAGTTCGACCACATCATTATCGTTCTGCAGCGGCAAGAGCGGCATAACGATTAAGTTTTTGATCGCCATTACTGCGAAACGACCCTGAATTTTGCGCTCCGCATCTACGTCACGCGTCGGAGAAAGTGCAACCGGCAAGGACCCCTCTGTCCGTCCCGTCCCCGGGGGCAATTCCTCCTTAGGCCGGAGGGCTTCGGTTTTCACTGGCTCGGACTTAACCGCTTCAGGTTTAACGTCCGATCGCACACCAGATGTCACGTCAGATTTAACCGCGGGCAACGGCACGCAGTTTGGATGTCTCGGGCTTCACGTAGGTAAACGAATCTAGGCCAACCTCGTCTACAGGCGTAGCAGGCGCAACAGCCGTTGCGGAATCGACACACACCGGGGGCACTGCAACAGGGGTACGCAAAACCGGCACGGCGTCAAGGGATACCTGACCGTGTTTCCCGACGAAACGAGCCTCCTCGTCTTCGCTACCGCTACCACTATCGGTTTCATACCTGCCACGTCCGCCACCACGGCCTCCACGTCCTCGGGAGCCTCGCGTGCGGCCGCCAAACCCGCGGCCATGCCCGTCCGAGTCTCCGCTCCCACCGGAATGCTGGTGAACAGTCCGCTCCTTGCCCGAGCGGTATCGTCCGCCACCACGGCCATAGCGCTGTCCGCGCCCACCACCGCGGTACTCGCCGCCAGAATCCGTCGCAGACCACCCGTCACTGGAGTCCGCACCCCGGTAACGCTTCCGGCCGGAGCGTCCGCGGGCACCTCCACCGCGATCGCCATGACCGGCCCGTCCACCGTGACTGCCGCGGCGACCCCCACCTCCGCGGCGGTACTCACCGTCCTCCGACCCGCTGGACGGCGGGCAGTCCTTGCGCTTTTTCGTCGCGAGCGCCAACTTCATGGCTTGGTCGAACGTGAAACCGGACCCCTGTGCCATGACCGTGGCCACTTCCCTGGCGAGAGACACCGAGTCGCCGGTCTCCTCACGGGCCGGTGCGGCCGCGCTCCCCGACACAGGAGGCGCAGACACCTCCAACGCCGAACTCGTATCACCCGGGCCGTCCGGAATGGCGCCCGCCTCTTCCAGCAGGGCGGCGTCCGCGAGCCGCCGGCGCTCGCGCCTCTCGAGGCCGTCCCGGACCTCGTCCCCAGTGCGACATGGCGGGGCCGGGAGGACAGACGCCCCTTTTGCCCTCGCCGCGGATTCCTCCGCGGCCAGGCGCTCGGTGTGAGCGCCCCGCATGCGGCGCTGCTGCTCGGAAGCCGCGCTGAGCTCCTCAGCCAGCGCGTCGGCCTCGATTTTCGCCAGCTTAATATCCTTCTCTCGGGCCCCACGAACAGCACTCTTATCGTCCGTTCGCGCGCGGTACCGGGCTTCCATAATGCCCAGCGCCGACCGGGCGTCGGCGATTTTCGCCTCGATGGCCGCCCGCACTTGCTGCGCCTCGTGGAGTTCTACCCACATTTCCTCCACGGATTCCCGCTGCGTTTGCACAGAAGAGGCCACTTTCCGCGCCTCCTGGCGAGCGCGGTCGTGGTCCACGCGGTCCTCAGCGGTGAGGCGCTCCCACCGGCTCGCCGCCTCTCGGTGCCGTGCCCCGAGGTCGGCGACCTGAGCCGCTACGGCCACTTGCACCGCCTTTCGTGTGGCGAAGGCGACTTTCTGCGCGTCGTGCTCCTCGATCGTCGGCGGGGTCGATCGCGGAACCACGGGCGAGGCCGCCCGCGCGTCCCGCACGCCCGTCGGCGCCCGGGACGACCCAACGGCGCCCGTATCAACCTCCAGGGAGCGCACCGAAACCGCGCCCACGGCGGGCGTTTCGACCTTCGCTCCTCGGGCCCCGGCCGCCGGGGCGGCGCTCCGCCCAACCTGTCGGACAGGGTGTGCCGGCTTCGTCGACACAGGAGAGGGTTCGGCTGGCGCCTCCGCACCTTCCGCAACCTGTCGCAAATCAGGCGCCGAAAGGACAGCGAAGCGATTGTGAGTGGGGATCGCGAACGCACGCGAAACCGGCGCACGACGGGAACGGGATTTGGAGTTCGAGCGGCCCGTACGCGGGGGAGGACGGCCGTCCACCACCGCAAGGCGATGCGCTTCAAGAGCGCGCTCGGCTTCATCTAAGGATCGGGCTAACGCGACGGACTTCGCCCATTCGGGGTCAGAATCGGCGTCCCCTCCGCTCATGTCACGGACTAGCTTCAACGTAGCCGGCAGATCGGGGTCACGGGTACCCTGCGACCGGCGCCCACCCAGCAACTCCGCGAGCAACTGTTCTCGGTCGTTAACCGACCAACCGGCAACAATATCCCCGACAGCCACGACCGCGGGGGACGGCCGCTCAAACCCGCTCACCTGAGTCGAACAGGTAATCGCCCTTTTTGATGGTCCAGAGCCGCGGCCCCGGGACCTTCCTTGGCGACGCGGTCCGCCGCCTCCCTGGCCGCCGCAGCCGCAACCGCCGCCTCCGCCGACACCTGAGCACCGACCACCACCCGACACTCCGACGCCGAATCGGAAGTGGCCGATTCCGCCGACGAGCTCGCCGCGTCCGACGGGTCCGCGACCTCCTCCTCATCGTCCACCTCTGAACCTGACAGGGCCGCCAAATACGACCGCGACGCGGTAACACGAGACGAGCGATGGGCACGCGCGGGCGGGGGCGCAACCGGTTGGGACAAGGGGACGAACGACCCCAGCGTCACGGGCGCACGAGATTGCTTACGGCGAGAAAGCGTTTGCGAGCAGGTCACCGGACCCTCCACACGAGACCCACCTTCACGGCTCGCGCCCTTTCCCCTGGGCGACGGAGTCCGCACTCCCACAGGGGCCGACCCCGCGCTGGGCGAGGACGCCTCTCCGCCCCTCCGACCAACCGCCGCTGGCTTCATCGTCTTCTCGGAACGATCCACGAGCCTGGCCACGCGCCGCTCGGGAATGTGCGAGTGCTCCGCCGGCACCTCGATTGCACGCGCCGACCCCGCTCGGGCGATCGGACTCACGCTCCCGTCGTCGGGGGTAGCGAGTGTCGCGGCGGCCTCAGCCCCGATGCGCGGTACCCGAGCGGTACGTCGCGTATCGACAGCCGCGTAGAACGCGGGCGTGCTGTCTGCCGATGTGCAGACGACCCCAACCGTGGACACTCGACGCACAAGCAAGCTAGACAAAGCTTGAAGCCGACGACGCCACTGTGGAGAGAACTGGTACTCTGGGGTACTGGTTCTGCCTCTTCCTTGCTAACAGGCTCAGCCTTGTCAGAAGTGCATGCGCTTGTGTTCAACCGTCTTTGTGTTCGGCACGGTTGTTTTTGGGTGTCTTATTATTGACTCTCGGCAATCTTGCTATCAGCTCTGTACGGCGAGACTGAGGGCAAAGCTTTATGAGTGATTCATGTGCGAGGCTTAACGGAGCCAAGCTTCCGGACGGTCCAACTGCAACCAAGCGTTACAAACAGTCGCACGTCAGTCCGTGGTCTGCGATTCTCCTACTACTACACAACAACCATCTGATTGGTTGCACTTATCCAATGAAATGCACAAACACATGTTACTGGCTTACTCTCATACTCCTGGGTCTACGCTCGTGATTGCCTAGGCCCTAGGTCCGATGCATCCAGCTGGCCACATCAGCCCTAGGTCTACGCTACTTGGTTGGTCGGTCCAGTCGTCTAGACACTCAGAAATATGTCGACCGTTTCAGATAATAACCAATAACGCCTCACGAACTAGACTGAAACCCATTCTCACCACAGCGTCAGGCAAAACACGACAACAAAGCACCCACCGTGGGCGGCCTGCCCCCACCTCGGAGCAATAACCGCGCACCAGCAGACAGAGTTGGTGGCCGAGGATGGTGTTATCATCCGTTCTAAACCAAGGATCCCGCTTGCTCCGCTCTCCAGCGGTACTGGGTGCAGCGGCGTGCAGAGGCACCTTCAGGGGGCAGCAAGCACAGCGTGTGTCTCCCTGCGCCGCTGCTCCAGCCGCGTGGACTACTGTCCGAGCTGTCGGCGTACATCACCGCACGTTCTGGGACTGGAGCGGCACGGGCAAAGGCGGGGATCAGGGGAGCAGCAAGGGGAGCGGCGGTGCGGCAGACGGCGGCGGTGGCGGCGGTAGCGGTGGCGGGATTCCGAGGAACGGCAAGGGCAAACCCGGCGGCTCAAGTGAGAGGCAGGAGATGTCTTGATTCAAAAATTCACGCGCGTGTACCCAACCAATACTGCTGTGCTATCTTATCTCCACCTCCATCAGTTGTATCATTGACATCTACAGTATGTAGACATGGAGACGCTCTACGAGCTTCGAAAGGGCGTGACCTTGTCGGTCGTACCCGCTCTTGCTAGTGTAACGGGGACGAGATAGCCAGGTTCCGTAGGCAAATATGCGGCGCAACCTCAGCGGGCCATTTTGAAAGCTGAACCCGCAAAAAGGCAGCAGTGGGCGCATCTCTTGAGGACTTTGGGATCACGAAGCAGGTGCCACGTGTCTTACCGGCAAAGCGGCAGCAACGTGTCTGGGTTCTGTCACGCACTCCAGGCAACATTAACCGCACAAAGCGGCGGCATCACTTGTAGTCAACGAACAGCTTTGGGGGGGCGCCTGTACGGTACTTCAAAGAAGAGCACTGAGTTATAGTACACATGCACCCGCTTTCATACATTTGGTGGACCCCCTGCCACTTTCTTGCTTCTGTTGCACTTGAACTGCATCCGCCTCCACTCTCGCTGAACGCGGAGGTTGTAATGCCGGACAGGCGACGGGCATGATGTACCCGCCCACACCAATCCAACACGAGTGATCAACGGTTGCTGTCTCGTGCCCACACAAACCTCAACCTCTTTCAACGCCGCCATCCGCCTTGAGCCGTCCACAGCATCGATCACGACAATGTACTGTAGTCGAGCGAAATATCTGTTCTACATTGGGCACGCCGAGGGTATCGTTTCACGTAGAAATTGTTGTCGCTGTTCCACCTATCCCTCCCAGAATGCCCTGGCGAACTATGTATACTACCACTGCTGTGGCGTTAGCAACAGCCCGCCGCGTAGAGGCAATCGATCCCCTTACTCCCCTCGCTTCCTTCTCGCCTGTTTGGTTCGTCACGACGCGATTCCCGCCCGACACCACACGCGCGGACCTGTCGATCGATACGTAGATGGCGTGGGCGAGGCGGCCGCGGAGGAGCAGCCCCCGTCTCCCGGTAGCGGCGGCGCGGCGGCGTCTTCGCCGATGCTAGTCGGCTCGGGCGACCAGGCGCCCCGGCCATCGCGGTTGGTCGGTCTGCCGATCAAGTGGCGGCCGCTGTTCCCCACCACGGCGTACACGTACACCATCACCAACCCCGACGTCCTCACCGCGGTGGCCAAGTCGAGCCGGGTGTGTCGCGTGTTGTAGCCACAGGCATAGTTTCGAACGTGCCGTTGCTATCTATCTATTGGGGCTGCGTGTGCCGCTTGACTGACTGAATCGTGGTGGGTGGAGGGGCCTTTTGGGATGTATTGTCATGTGCGTGGATGTTGTGGTCTTGTCGAGTGGGTTGGTGGAGTCAACCTGGGTGAACAAACAATGCACGCACTTCATGGGGTAGTTGTAGGGCGACTCTTTCGGTACATGTAATATTATTTTTTATCATCCTGATTGTAACGCACGTTTAGCTGTGGTGGGGTTGATCCACCTTCTTTGCCGGGTCCACCTTATTTTTTTATTTGTTCCGATTGTGTGCTTCCGCGTGACACATCTTCTTCTGCGCTCGTCGTTCTTGTGGACCCTCTCTTTCCTTTGCTCCCCCACCCCGTTCTTTCTCGCCGCATACCTACCTCTCTTCAACACTTTTGCCCGTCATCCCCGACACCGTCTTCGAACGATCGCACGGCTCGCGGCGGCGCAGAGCGGGTTCCCGTACGTGGCCGTTTTCTTGCGCAAGGAGCCAGAATGGAACCAGGGCGCCGAGGCGGACAGCGAGGCCTCGGGAGAGACGGCGGCGGCGGAACCGCCGGACGATGCTTCCACTGCCGTGGGGGACAACAAGGATGGCGTCGTCGAAGGGGCGGCGGAGAACGCCGTTCAGCAGACGTTCCCCGAAGTGATCACCAGCATCGACGAAATCCATGGGGTCGGCACTCTGGCTCAGGCGAGTGCTCTTTGGTGGGTACGGTACAGGAAGTTAAAACGAGAATTGTGAAGAAAGTAGAGACACGGAAACCGGATGTTTTCGAGGCACGCATTTTGTCAATCACGTGTTTTTAGCGCTGCGCCTTTTTTTAGCGGAACTGACTGGACATTTGTTACCGGCGTGCGGTCTTGTTTGGAATTATTTCGTCACACACCGTTGGCAGCTGTCCAATCCGTGCGGCGCTTAATACGGTGCCATAGAGTTAATGGCGCTGTGCAGCTTTTGGCCCGGGCAGGGGACGGGGACGCGGGGAAGGAAGAGGGGGACGAGCTGTGATATCTCGCATACGGGGAATAAATAACTAGAGACACACGTTGCAGATCACGTCAGCAGGAAACGCCTCGGTCTCTTCTCTGTACGGCGAGAGCGCATATCGTAGCGCATTTGTGTATGTGTTTTTGGGTGTCTAGCCCGTTGAAAGTCCGTCGTGCTGTTTTGTTCCCAATGCCGTGGCAATTCTGCTGTGCGGATAGTTTCCGATGTTACCTGTGGTTTTTCCGTGTGCTGTGGTGAGGTGTACACAGACAGTAATTTGCTGACTCCAAGGAAACGACGTATGCACCATGTAACGATTGGCGGCAGGTGGCCGATATCCGACCGTCGGCGCTGCCCGGAGAGGTGCAGCTGCTGCTGGTCGGGCACCGGCGCCTCTCAATCAAGGAGGTCGTCTCTCTCGGCCCGCCCCTGGAGGTGGAGGTGGACCACTGGAACACGTGCGTGCTCTTTCGATTTTCTTGCTGTGGACTAATACTACTACTACTACTACTACTACTACTTCTACCACTACTATTACTACTGCCGTGTGTTGTTGGTGTCCCATGGCGTGGTGTGATCGCTGGTGTTGCTTCACTGCCGCCGTCGACTGGTCCCGTTTATCCTCGCGCATACCACAAGCACATGACGGTTAACATGATCGCCATACTGTAGGTAATAATCGTGGCTCTTGCTTCTTCGCCTTGCTGGTTTGTACTCGCGTGGCCGACCCCCCGCCCCACCCCCACCATCGTCAACAAACCAGCGGCGAGTTCGATGCAGACTCGGAAGTGATCCGCGCCTACTGCCAAGAGATCCTGAGCACGGTCCAAGAGGTGGTTGTCCTCAACCCTCTCCTTAGGGAGCGCATCACGTTCTTCAGCGAGCGAAACATCAACGTCCACAACCCCTTCAAGCTGGCCGACCTCGCGGCGACCCTCAGTTCGGGCAGCCCAGACAAGCTGCAGGCGGTGCTCACCGAGCAGAACCCGGAGCAACGCCTGCGCCTGGCGCTTGACATCATCTCCAAGGTGTGTCGGTGCACCTATATTTGTCGGTATCTTGGTGTCTCATGGGAGAGCTGTATCGTGTGTTGGGTTTGGGGGACTGCCTGTCGCTTGTTGACTCAATTCTTTTGTCGGGATGTCATGAGGAATTTGTTTTGGCTCACTGGCGTGTGTGTGTCTATGGTTGTGTTATGGTAGGGTTTCCATCCGAAAAGGAGAGAGAAGGGGGTGGAGTGCATGGTGGAGGAGGGGTCTTCTGCGGGTGCGTTGTTACGTTTTGTGTCTTTTTATTGTCGTCGTCGTCGTCGTCGTCGTCGTCGTCGTCGTCGTCGTCGTCGTCGTCGTCGTCGTCGTCGTCGTCGTCGTCGTACTTTGTTTTTGATTCCATTTTTTGTGCCGAGGTCTCGTTGCGCGATATTCCGCCCCGACACAAGTCGCTCTTTGTAGTTATATGTGTCAGAACAACATGCAAGTGTTGTCGATGTCTGCGGGAGAGCGAGAGGTTCTTCGCCTGCGGCAGCAGGACATCAAGTACAGTAGCACGCTTAGCCGACCCTTTTTCCTTTTTCGCATGTGGTTGCTTCGCGGTAATTTGTTTTCACGCAGGTACAATGGCCCCTGTGTCATATTTTCGCGTTCAGTTCGCTTCTGCCAGCGGAGATACCCCTCCGGGACAAATAACCTAGCGAACCCTTCATGGTATGCGTATGGCTTGATTTGTTTATTTTCTTCTGCTTGCAACCGCAGGAAAGGGAGGTGCTCCGGCTGCAGCAGGACATCAAGCAGCAGGTGGACCAGAAGATGACAAATCAGAAGAGGACCTACTTCTTGCAGGAGCAGCTCAAGTCGATCAAGAAGGAGCTTGGGCTTGAGAAGGACGATAAGGAGGCCATCCTCAACAAGTTCCGGGACAGAAGGAAAAAGATCAAGGTCTGGTGGTGTGTTGGAAGTGGACGAAAAGCACAATACTGGTGTTCCGACTTTCGCTGAAACGAGCAAGAAGGGATGGGCAGAAGAACGAAAGTGTACAACAGTTGGATAGTTATGGAGAGAGATGGGACGGATGGATCAAGGAAACAGGAGGCCAACGGTAGTTTGTGAAGACGGGCGGGACGTATGGAACAGAAGCAAAAAAACAGATTTTGATGGTTTGGAATCGGGGGAAGAGAGATGGAGATACGGAAGATTTTGGCCTCAAGATTTGATGATTTTGAAGATGGCCAGCGAGCTTCGACATGAACGGACGGAGAGACATACACACAGAGAAAGCCATATACACAGACAAACAGCAAAAACGCAAAAGAGTCGACAGCCGGCAACCCTGGGGGATTGTGTCGGTCCCCGCCTTCTTCTCTTGTTGCACCCAACACGACGCCACCACCGCACGCACGCCTCTACCGCCACGGTACGGTATGCATACAACGGTTCGTTTTTTTGCACCAGGAGATTACGAAGGAAGCGGAGAAGGCGATCGAGGAGGAGCTTGAGAAGCTGTCGTCCCTGGAGAAGAACAGCCCGGAGTTCAACGGCACCAAGAGCTACCTCGACTGGCTGACCCAGCTGCCGTGGGGACACGCCTCGGTGGACAACTTCGACCTCAAGAAGGCCAAGGAGGGGCTCGACGAGGTATGTATATCGTGGACGGATGTGAAGGGGGAGGGGGGGAGGGGGGTGTACTCATATAAACGCATGCTGTCGTCGTTAGACCATTGAGAGGGGAGGAGGGGGGGGATTTTCCATCTTTCCAATGGACCCCTCGATGTATTTTTTTCTCTCTCTACGTGTTGAAGCGTTTGTGCTTTGTTATATGGGAGGGGGGAACAAGCTTCCTTCCGCGTGAGCAATTTTCCTCTAGGGTTTGAGATGGGTGTGTGTATCCAGAGCGTGCGGTATGATGCGCACAGCCCTTCTTTCGTTCTCCCCCCACCCCACCCGCGAGTGGCGTTATGTTTTTTTTCGACGCACAAGGCCTGTAAGGAATAGGTCTGCTGCGGATTGACCCGGTGCGGACGAGATCAAAACCCCTTTAAGGGTGGCGCGCCGCCCGCCCCATTGCCATCGCGGGGGTTGCAGGAAATGCTCCAGGGCCGGGTTTTGGGACCAGGATTCCAACACCAAACACTTTTGTCTTTGCAACCTTCCCCGCACTGCGCGTGGATAAGAAGTGCGTGGTTGATCTTGTCTCTACTTCTCCCCCCCCCCCCCGCCTACTCTATGGGTGAAGGACCATTACGGGCTGGACGACATCAAGGAGCGCATCCTGGAGTTCATCGCCGTCGGCAAGCTGAGGGGCGGGGTGCACGGCCGCATCCTCTGCTTCGTGGGGCCGCCCGGCGTGGGGAAGACTTCGATCGGGCACAGCATCGCCAAGGCCCTCGACAGGGAGTTCTACAGGTTTAGCGTCGGCGGTCTCCGAGACGTGGCGGAAATTAAGGGGCACAGGTGTGCATGTATGTTTGCGTCGACCGCGCTAACCGGCTGGCCAATAAGCAGGCGTCGGGAAGTGAACGTTGCAGCATGAGACAGATCGGTGGAAGTGACCGAGGAGACTTTCGTGCCTCCACTGGGTGCCACTTTTGCTCTTGGGAGGGTTTGGGAAGGAAAGGAACAAGGCGCAACGCAGACAAACGCAGAGACGAAAACGCGTGTGTGTGCAAATTCACCGATACTTGAGTTAATGCCATTCATGTTATGTGCGTAATCATCCCCTTGCCCCCCGCCCCGAGTTTACTCTGTCGTTGTTGTCGTGGCGGCATTGTCGTCGTCGTCATCATCATCACGCAGGCGGACGTACGTTGGGTCAATGCCGGGCAAGCTGATTCAGTGCCTCAAGGTCACGGGCACCAACAACCCCGTGGTGCTCATCGACGAGATCGACAAGCTCGCCAGGGCGCATGACGGAGACCCCGCTTCGGCCCTGCTCGAGGTCCTGGACCCTTCCCAGAACAGCGCCTTCCTGGACAACTACCTCGACGTGCCCGTAGACCTGTCCAACGTGAGCGCTAGCGTCCGGCGACGATCTGGCCTGTTGAGACAAAGACAAATCCCTCTTTTGTATGTGGTTGCTGTGTTTTACCGCCATGCACGGAGCGTGAAGGTTGAGACTTTGCTTGTGAACAGGGCATGTTGTATGTCGATAGGGCCCGTGTCCTGAGCGGGCCCGCTGGCCTCGTTTAGACCTGTGCCGAAAACGATTAACGTGAGTGTACTTCAAAGTTCAAGGAAACAAGCGTTTTTGTGTTTGTCTCGCTGTAGATTTGTATTGCGTGATTTCAGCAATGGTTGGTGGGAAACGCGCAAGTTCGTGCCCCTACCGCCGCGGTTTCTAGGGCTGCTGCTGCTACTGCTGCTGCTGCTGCTGCTGCTGCCGTTGTGGCTTGTACACGTGCTGATCGATGTATCCCTTGCTGCCCACGCCACATGGATGCAGTGCCTCTTCATTTGCACCGCAAACGTGCTGGACACGATTCCGGGGCCTCTGAAGGACCGCATGGAGGTGATCAGGCTTTCCGGCTACGACCTACCGGAGAAGGTGAGGTAGAAGGAGAGGTAGAAGAGGAGTGGACCCAAGGTTCGCGGGTGGGAGATGTGTAAGAAGCCGGGGGAGAGAACAGGGAAAGAGAGGAGGTACTGTATGAGATCAGCGTCAGCACTACCGTTTGGTGCTGGGAACTGATGCGCCGAGGCAGCGTATGTCATCCTATCCGCTGTCCCCTCTCCCTCCCTCCCCCCCTCCCTCTGCTGCCGCTGGTTATATTTGATTCGTTTTTACGGGGACAATGCCACCATCTTGTGTTGTCGTTTTTGCCCTTTTTTGCAGGTTGCCATTTCGGAGCAGTACCTGATACCCAAGGCTCGGAAAGATCACGGCATGGACAAGGTGCGACTGAACAATCTGTCAGAAGCTTGTTTGTTGTTTATTTCGTGTAAGAGAAGCTGTTGCCTTGTCTCGTGTAACCCCCCCCCCCCGCTGCTGAGTGTTTCCCGCGTTGTCTCGAAGTGTGTGATGCCTTGCTTCGCTATGCCGTGCTGCTCCTTGTGTTGATAGAGGTGCTTCCGCCTTTGCATGGCAGTCCCCATGATTCCCTTCGGCTATAACTCGCACGTCATCAGCGATGAGAGACAAAAATGTGCCGCGCAGCGTTTCTCGTTCTCGTGGCCTGCTTTTCCGCGTGCGAGCCTCGCAAACTGATTGTCCCCATAGTATGACGTTGCACTAGTTAATGCTGCACGTATCGTTTGTGTTTTCGCAGGACAACCGGCTGGGTCACGTTGAGATCGAGCGCGAGGCGATCGAGACTTTGGCAAGATGGTACGCCCGCGAGGCTGGAGTTCGCAACCTCTCCAAGCTGGTCGACAAGGTACTGTAATGAGCACGAGCTGCTATCGCTGTTGCTGTTAGTTGCGGCGGTTGTGGCGGTGTCAATCGTTGTTTGTTTGCAGCGTTGGCATCAAGGGGCGGTGGCGGTGTTTGGTGGCGTTGAAAGGGCTTTACGCGATGGTGGCGGAGGGAGGTGAGAGGTAACAAGGAAGCTACGACAGTGCTCGAACGCTTCAAAGGACCAGAGAGCGCTGCGGCCGCGTTTCGCTGTCGATTGCGAATCAGCTCTCTCTGGTCCGCACAATCAGCGAACACAACCTAGCTCGTAAGTCAATTGACTGACATATCGCTGCTGGTGGTGTTCTATTTTGTTTTGCCGCTCACCTCCTGCCAAGGCACACCTGATTTACCTAGTTTGTGCGATGCGGCGAGCACTCGTTTGTTGAGAATTGGGTGGATATCGTTGGACCTCGGGGCGAAACGCATCGGCCGCCCCTCTCCTGCCTGTATCCTCACCCGGTCGAAAAACTTGGAGCAGATTCACAGAAAACTGGCTCTGGAGATGGTTCTCGAGGACCAGGAGGCAACAGCGGCGGCGGCGGCGGCGAGCGAGGAGGAGGAGGTTTTAACAACATCGTCGCGAAAGGGGGGGGACGGGGAGGCGGCGGGGTTGGTGGTGGTAGAGGCGGGGTCGCCGACAGTAGAAGAGGGGGTGGTGGCGGACAACGCAGCAGCGGGAGTACCTGAGGAGGAGGGGGAGAGGGACGGGGTCGCCGGAAAGGAACCAAAGGCTTGGGTTGTGACGAAGGAGAACCTGGACAAGGTGACATTCTTTCGATTCGATTCGATATGGTTTGGCTACATGTAGTTGGCTGATTCTACACTTGCGTGTGTGCTCTTTTGTTGTTGTTGTAAATAGCATCGACCGCGCCGAACGGCTGGCCAATGAGAATACATCCGTCTTGCAGCGGCGGGGAAATTAACGGCAACACGCGCGGGCGCGCCTGCCTGCGAGAGTGTATTTGCTTTGTTGTTGGAGAGGGGGGGGTGGAGAGTGATTATAAACACAACGGTCGACTCAACAATCATGCGTACCTACCCACTGCCGCATTATATTCCGTCTGTTCAGTACGTCGGGAAGCCGACTTTCACCTCCGACCGCCTCTACGAGGGCGCGTCGGCCCCGCCCGGCGTCGTGATGGGCCTGGCCTGGACGGCCATGGGCGGCTCTTCCCTCTACGTCGAGGCGATGGCAATCCGACCGCCGACAGATGCGTCGGCCTTGCCGTCATCGGGCGAGGGTGCGGGATCGGGATCCGGGTCGGCGGGCGCGCGTCTTCGGACCACGGGACAGCTCGGAGACGTCATGAACGAGAGCGCACAGGTGATGATCAGGGGGTGGTGGTAGGGGGGTTGTTACATGCACATGCGCATGTTTTGGGCTGCTTGGATAGATCGAGCGTATTGTTGTTGTTGTTGTTTCTGGTTGTACCCCCAACCCTCCCGTATGCCGCGTCGGCGATATACTAAGTAGGCGATCAGCTGTTCCTAAACGCTGAAGACCACGACAACACGACATGGATACACCTCTCTCTCTCTCTCTCTCTCTCTCTCTCTCTCTCTCTCTCTCTCTCTCTCTCTCTCTCTCTCTCTCTCTCTCTCTCTCTCTCATCTCCCGTGCCATTACCGCCCGCGTGCAAGTCACCGTTGACCCCTCCCCCCCCCAACGCGTCTGCCCCGACCCCGAAAACAATCAGATCGCCTACTCCGTAGCGCGAGAGTGTCTTGGAAAGCTGCGGCCGGCGAGCGCTTTGTTCTTCGAGAAGGCGGCGGAGGTGCACATGCACGTGCCGGAGGGGGCGACGCCGAAGGATGGGCCCTCGGCCGGAGTGACGATGGTAACGGCGCTGCTGTCGCTCGCGACGGGGACGTCGGTGCGGGAGGACCTGGCGATGACGGGAGAGCTCTCGCTAACGGGAAAGGTGAGGCCCATGGGCTGGAAGCAAGGCCTCGACGCACGAAGCCATCAAATACATCATGCCATCCTCTCTCTCTCTCTCTCTCTCTCTCTCTCTCTCTCTCTCTCTCTCTCTCTCTCTCTCTCTATCTCTCTCTCCGTCTTGTCTCTCTCGCTCTGTCCGTCTGTCTTTCCCGTCTCCCCCACCCCCTCTCTCCTTCTCTCTCTCTTCCTTTGTTCCGTGCTGCTCCACCAAAGAAACCCTGGTTTGCGGTGTAGTTACCATCTGACCTACCACCCAACACCGCCGTGTCGGCGCGGTCGTTTTGAGCTCTTGCCGGCCCTTTCGATTATGCGTCATTTTGATTGATTTCTGTGTATCATACGACGTTTTTTTGCTCTTCGTCCCAAAGGTGCTGCCGGTGGGCGGAATCAAGGAGAAAACCATCGCGGCCCGGCGTGCGGGCGTGCAGTGCCTCGTCTTCCCGCAGGGTAACAAGCGAGATTTTGAGGAGCTGCCGGAATACCTTAGGGACGGCTTGGAGGCGAGTTTCCCTTTTTTTTTTCCTGATCGTTTCCGTGTTGGTGTTTTTAGGCGGGTGTGTGCTCTGGGATGTGAGGTGAAACGGACTGGCTACTGTTTTTTTCGTGTTTGTGTTGTTTGTTGTTTTCTTTTTTAGTTTTTGACAACGATTAAAGGGAGATGGTGGTGTTTGTTCGTATTCGTTGACGTTAATGTAGCTTTAGCTTCGACACCCCTCAGGCGGGCCCTCTCGCTTCTGTGTTTGTGGGTGCTTTGCTCTGCCATCGAGTATTTCCCTTGCCTCGATTTTGGCTGATTTTCCGAACCCTTTGAAGCGCCTCAACGGGATCCGTATGCCCTCCCCCCCCCCCCGACTTGGAAACAGGTCCACTTTGCCAGCGAATACGGAGACGTGTTCGGTGTCGCTTTCGGAAAGAAAGCGGAGTCGGCTAGCTCATCGCCCGCGCCTCAATGATGCAACGCTGGGAGCCAATCTGTTGGAGTTGTACTCGTTACACGAACGTTTTATCTCTGATGCAGTACAGAGAAGCACACAAAGGCCAACCCGGTTTTAGTTTTATTGTTGACGCCGACCTCTTTTCCATTTCGCACAGGAGTTGGTATAGGAATTGCATCGGGTGTTTTGCTTGGCCTTTACCAATACTCCGGAGTAAGTGAAGAGTGATGTGTCGACCAATCCGTGCGGTGAAAGCAAGAAATACGTTTGAATGGACGAGATCATGATGTTTTTCCATCTGCAAGTGGTGCATGCATGCACACGATGTGTCAGCGGTAGTCGTCCACACTAAATGTGCTTGGAGCTTCTGGGGGGTGGGGGGTACTGATGCAAGCAGACCGCCGCACAACCACCGTCTGCTCGGAGGCTTCCGGACCCCGGTTTCTAGGTTTAGGCCTGGACGAGGAAACGGAGCCGTACTACCCACTTTGGCGAAGACATGGTTGAAAGGATTTGACGAGGTGTTTCTCTTTTCACCCTGTAGTTTACCCATACCCCATCCCCATCCTCCCGGTTGGCAGTTGTCACGTCACGACACGTCACAAGTCATACTGTAGACCGGTGGGTGTGTTGCCTCTAGGAGCTCTTGCACGTTGGTGTACATGGCCAGCTGGGGCACACCAAAATCTTCACTAGCGCCCACAGGGAGACCACCGCTTTCGCCGAGGGTGGTCAGGCTCTGTACTGGACGACGGGTTTTACGCAGCAAAGCCTACCAACGGTATAGGCATATATATGTTCCGGAAACAAACGATAAAACGGAAAAGTTGGGAGGCCTCCACCCTCTTCGTCGACTCCACTTGAGACGCCTAACTCTCGCGTAGAGTGAGTCAACAAAATCCAAGCCTTGACCACTGACATGAGGTTGTCGATACGTGGCGCGGGAGTACCAAGCTTGACCACGCGGCGCAAGTCAAAACCGGAGTCGGTGAGGCGTGTGCGATGTGCCTTTCGTGGACAGCAGCTGTCTCACACCAAGATCAACCCCACGCTGTTCGAGGCGAAAGGTGGCAAATCATCTATAGTCAAGTAGAGACGGAAACGTTGGGTGACCTGCCCCCCGTCTCTCCGTGGAAATTGCAAGATATGTTTCTAAATCTGGCTTGACAGATGCGGTAGTTACCACCGTTCAACACACTTTTGCTCGAGAACGATCGGCATGGCGTACACCAAGAAGACAAGGACTGATTTTCTCAACATCCTCCGCGAACGTCGCAGTTTCCACCACTCACTCTCACAAATGTCACTTACACACCGCCTTAGTTGGTGTGCGGGAAATACTTGGGAAATACTGGCGCGATCTTTTGACATCCTTTGCGTGCGTGCGCGAATCGTGACGAGAGATCCAACAGATGAGCGCGCGGAGACGGGGAGGTCTTTGTCGACCTTTCTTTTACCGCAAATGGTATATGCCGGCACAGGTTGTTGTAGTAGCCGTGCAGTTGTTGAAGTAGCCGTGCACTACAGCAGCAGTCTCTAGTAGTAGCCGTGCATCTCGATATCAATATCTCGGGCGGTGAGGTCGGCGCCTCTGCCGGTGTGGAGTGTGGAAGTCTCTTCGGACCAATTCCCTGGTGAACAAAATAATCTTCATCACGGCACGATATGTTCGTTCTTCCGATGTTCCGAAAGACTTCAAAGATTAAAAAAAAATAAAGAAAAGGAAAGCGTCGAGTAGTGGTCCGCAGCTCCCTGGTGTTGGAGTTGAAGGTGAGTTGACTGATGAGCCCCCTGGCCATCTCGCATGACCAGCACTTACTGAACACGAGGTGAGGCAGGATAACAGGCGGGTGAGGCTGCATCTGCATCCGTCCTGATGTGTATCATGAAGTTGTATGTGCGACAGATCGGTCGTGATCACACGACAGATCGGCCTCTACTAAGTCTTGGTGAACCTGGATCTTCCCACGTACGTGTATGTATGTCTCTGCGCAGCGCTCAACAGCAGCTGTTTGTTTGTGCGAGTTTGTAAGCCGGTTATGGGAGGCAACGCTGGAAGTTTTCTCGAAGGTGGCTATAGCTGGGCTTCACCTTCTGCACGAACGAGTGGTGTGGAGCGAGAGTGTTAAAAAGTTAAAAAGATAGACGGAGAGAAAGAGAGCAGCTAGCAGCTAGCTAGCTGCCATGGTCTTCATCAGACTACAATATCCTCTTCAAAAAATTCCACACGAACGAGATCCTCTGCATTTATTTTCTTCATGTGCTTTGGCGTGTGCGCGCAAGTCTCACTCGCTCTATGCATACGAGTGAATGCCACCTCAGTCCGAAAGAGTAGTGCTTAGCAGCTGTGTGGCACTGATGGTGCTGATTGCAAGGCAATGCCTCATTACTGCTGTAGCTATGTACATATCCAGGCAGATCGGGCAAAGAATCTCCTACCATCATTTGGTAGGATCACTGCGGGGGGCCGGAGCGGCCAAACGCATTTATTCAGACAATGTGGCGTTGTGCAGTGTAGATTTCACGGCACAGCAGGACCAAAAAAACAGCAGAACATCAACTGGATTATTGTACACCTTGTATACACCGGAATGACTGATGATTCGGTCGAGGACACGTATAGTAAATGAATAAATAAATGTGGTTGCTTGTGCCGAGTGATGAGTTATGTTTATTTATTATGAGAATTTCCAATATCCAGCTGTTTTGAGTACAGACGACTAGTTTACATTCCGTAGTTGCCCACCAAGATCAGGAGGACGCCTTGTCTTCCACAACGCAAAGTGGGAACGACGGATATGCTTGTTTTGTCGATTGTCATGACGTCTTGCTTATTTACTGTAACACTACAATTATGCATCCATCTCCGTTGAGGTGCAAGAGGGTCGACTGATATAATATGTAGACTACCAGACTTCAAAGCAACGGTGTTCCAAGGCACTGTTCTATCTAAGGTGTGTCGTTCAAGCCGATGCAATGTTTCTGGGCATCCAAATAACACTTTGAGAGTCTACTGTAGTAGTGTCCACATCATTCTACCGTAAACTACGGAGTTTCCCCCCCCTTGTACAGATTTATTTCCCCCAATATTATCTTTTCGGCCTGGAAGCAAGCAAGCATGGTTTCGTTGATTTAGTCCCGGGGTATGTAGATCGTTTTCGACCGAAAAAAAAAAAGATCCCCCTGGGTATTTCAATTTTCCCCCGGGGTACCAGTTTCCCACGAGTTCCCCCCGGGGGGGGTGTATTTCCCTTACTTTCTGGGTCGATTTTGTTGCATCGCAGAGCACAAAAAGCATGATACGGGACGGAAAAAATATTTGCAGATCTACGCGTCGAGCGAGATTTAGGTGTACCGTTTGTCACTTGGCCCTCGCCGTTTTTTTTGGGTGAAATGCTTTCGTTTTCTTGTTTATTTCTTGCATTATCATCCCTGGAGTCAGCTGAAACGTACCATAGCATGCTGACGAAACCTTGCGCACAAAGGGAAAAAAAATCGTATTCATTTTTTTTTGGATCTCACAACTCAAGGTAGAACCGAACCACAAAATTAATTTGTTCCTGCGGACAAACAAACTGCGAATTCTTGTGCATGAGCTTAGGCAAAGGTACCTCTTGCTCTCTTTTTTCTCTTCGCCTTCGTTGCTCTTACGTTGCTCCTCCCTCTGCTTGTTGAAACCTTGCTCGTAAACCTTATCCATCTCAGTTTTGTGTGTGTGTGGTGTGTGGACCGTCATTATTTTACACAACCCCCCGGGGGGGGGCTTCCCCCCGGGGTAGCGTTGGAAAGAAAAAAACTAACCCCCCGCGGTACGTCGATTTCCCCCCGGGGGGGTTGATTTTAGAAAAAAAAACGATCCCCTCCCCGGGGGAAAACTCCGTAGTGTACGGTATTATTGCCTCTTTCATGGTTGCGCATCCCTAACCTGCTCATCCACGGTGTGGATTTACGTAGTCTATTTTTTGTGACCCCCCCCCCTCCCCTGAACATTGAAATACCCTGGCAACCACCGAGGCAGCGCCAAGAGGTCAAGGCGGACAAAGAGCAGTGCTGCGAAAAGCCTGGTGCTTCTCCATTGTTAGTACTTGTTCTACGATGAGCGCGGCAATGGAGAATGTTACACCACGAGCCTCATCTTCCGACAACGGATCGGATTCTGACGGATTTGTCGTCGTTTCGGATCAGGAGGACTTCGTCAAGTTGAAATCGCCGCCGCGGCCTCGGACAGCGGCAGTCGCAGCCCCAGCAATAGCACCATCGGCGGGGCTGGATGAACCTGGTCTTACCGTTGGCATTGGTAGTAATGGCGGTGGCGGTGCTGGTGCTGCGCCTCACCACAGGAATCACCAGCCTGCCACCGCTACTTCTCCTGGGGAGTTAGTGTCATCGATCAACCGCAGTCCCGCAGTGGCCACCGCGACCACCACCACTGTGGCCACCGCCACCTCCGCCGCCGCCACCTCCGCCAATATCGTCAGCCCTTCTTCACCACTCCGCCCGAACCATCCATGCCGCCACCACCACAACCAGCAAAACAGCCCTCCATGGACGAGAGTAGCTGCAGTGCCCCCGGAGGCGCCCCGCCTCCCTTCGCACTACGTGGAGCGGTCGGCCCTGCTCGAGAATGTCGTCAACATGCTCATCGCCAAGAAACACTTCGACAACGGCCACGCCAGGGGCGTTACCACCACCAACAGCGGCGACAACCAACTCGACAACAATTTCCCCATCAGGAACAACGGCAACAACGGGACACATGTCGAAAAAAGGTGCAAAACATTCTTCCCCAGGGGCACCAAGAACACCAGCGGCGACGGGAACGGTAACGAAAACAGCAACGACGATGACGGCCTCGAGGGTGCTGCCTACGCCCTGCTTGGTGACAGCGGGTCGGGGAAGACCGTCCTGGCGTCGGCCATCGTCTCTCACCCCGAGGTCCGGAGAAAATTCTGGCGAGGAATCTTCTGGGTGAACCTTGGGCGTGGGGGAGTGGTGACGAGAGCAAGGACGGGGACAGGAGGAGGTTTGCTGAGAGCTCTGCTGCACGATCTGGCTGCGCAGGTGGTCGCGTTAGACCACCCACTCCCAGCCAACGGTGAAGAAGCCGCCGCCGCAACCGCACTCCTTGCCCGGTCGGCAAGCGCTGGAGAAACCCTCAAGCAATTGGCCACCTCAAACGGGGGTTCACATGTAGGGGAGCTCAGCCGACTTCTGGTCCTTGATAGCATTAGCGAGAGTTTCACCGACAACCCCAACGCCGTGGCCGAACTGGAAAGGGCTGGGTTTACGGTGTTGGTGACCTGCTCGAGGCCGTGCGCGCTGTCGGTACTGCGGAGCAAGCAGCCGATGGCAAAGCCGGAGGTGGGGGTACCCGGCGGGCTGCCCAACGACCTTGAGCACGGTCATCGCACATCGCCACACCGTAGAATCCATGTCAGTGTGCTGCATCCTGCGACGCCAAGCGAGGCGGTGGAGATGCTGCTGAAGAGGGTAAGGCGGCCGGGTGGGGCAACAATGGCGGTTGAGGCGACGTCGCCCGCAGGTTGGGCAGAGCTGAAGGCCGCTGAAGCTGGTGGCCCGGGTGCAAATGCATCAACCAGGGCGTCGTTCGAGTCGTGTGCTCTTCAGGTGATTTGACTGCTAGATGTGGCGGTTGGTGTGTGGCTCGGTTGACTGGGTATGCACGTTGATCGATCGGTTGACAAAATCAAGGAAGATAACTAAGTCGTTTGCTTTTACCCCCCTGCTTTGTGACATTCGCGGCGTGAACCGCTCCAACTTTTCCCGACAGGTCGTCAACCACTGCAGGGAGGTCGCACCGCTGGCTCTCGCTATCGTCGGTGCAGTAATAGCCGGCCAGGATGAGAGGGGTGGCCGCCGGGACAACTCGCTGTCCTGCGACTACGCTGAACGCTGCCGTCAGATCGAGCGGCAAGTCACCCGGCATCAAGATTGTGGTGATGGTTATGATGCTTTCAACAGAGTGATGGAGTTGGGGTTTGGCGCGCTCCCTGGGGACAAGACGAAGGACTGCTTCATTAGGCTGGGGGTGTTGGCGGAGGGAACGGTGGCTCCACTCGACATGCTGTCCAACCTTTGGGGGCAGGTGATTCACGGTAGTGATATGATGGTTCTGGTGGCGGAACGAATGGAGAGGAGGACGAAACCAGGCCACGGTTGAAGACCAGTTAATTCTCCTCCCTGTGTACTCTTGCTTGTCGTCGTCGATACACCGCTCTCTCTCTCTCTCTCTCTCTCTCTCTCTCTCTCTCTCTCTCTCTCTCTGAGGTGGATACAACGCGGATACGCGAAAAACAATGGTAGACGTTGTACCTCTTCCTGCTCTGCCCCTCCCCCTCGTCTCTCATTTGTTAAAAACACGGTAACACAAAAACCGATACAGCAGGATTCAGAGGAAACCGCACGGACCGTCAACGAACTCTCGGAGAATTCATTCCTCATCGAAATGGACCCGGGAAGCCGCTGTTACAGCATCCACGACCGCGTCCTCGCCTTCGCCAAGACCAAGCTCCTCCGCGCCGGTTTTGGGCCCGACGGGTTCCATTGCCGCTGTTACCTTGGAGGGGAGAAGGCGGCAGCGTCGACGACAGCAAGGAGCACGAGGGAGGCCGCAGTTGTGAATCAGGTGGACTACCTCAGCCGCCCGGGCATTCTCTCTCGGTTCTCTTACTCCGGCGGAGGAAGCAACGGCGTCATTGGCGACGGTGGAGAGGCGGGAATCGCTCTCGGGTGCGGCGACGGAATGTTGCTTGGGGGTCTGCCGGCGCTCGCAGCCCTGTGGCAGTCTCTGGAAGACCTCCGGTCTGATGACGACTGCTACTGTGAACGCTTTAGGATTGTGATGGGACGGCGACAGTCGCCTCGGCGGAGGTTTTTGGGGGATGCCTATGGGGCTTCTCTGCAGAGGATGGGCGTGTGCGTCGAGGCGGCGTTTGGCTACTGGGCAGCAGCGAAGCTGCTCCAGCTGCAGGTAACGCGCGAAGGCTCGTATCTATGGTACCGACCTCACTGACGCAGTATTATCATGGTACGATACACTTGGTTCCTGTTGGCTACGTACTCACTGGAAGCGTTGTACAAGATCATCATTTGCATCACGGCATGCAAGCAATACATATCTAAATGGCGTGCCATCGAGCTGTGGATCGTACGTATTCAGTTGCGGTAAATTACGTGGAGTTGATGCTTTTTCTCCGCCTTTTACCGAAGGAGCTAAATCGACGAATACATGCACCACTACACATCTGTGTCACGAGCCACAAAAGATTGTGTCAGTAGAAGCCCCACAATCCCGCCTTTTTCTCTTGCCTATGGTTTTCATTCAGGGCATCAACAAAGACGCCAAAACGATGGCCGGGAAATCCGTCCATGTGGGAAACGCTCTTTACCATGCCGGTGCGGCCCAGGCGGAACGGCTCCCCTCGAAATCCACGCTGCTCAGGCAAAAGGTGGGTCAGTGTGAATAATGATCCCAGGGCTGTCTATGGAGGAAGACGCCGTTGACCGTAACGTGGGAGACTTGGTGAATCAAGTCACCAACAAGCGCGGCCTCAACACACAAGGCGGAGCAACCTCCAATGCTTTAAAGGCCCAACAGTGTTTCTCTCTGCGACGTCGATACGCACCCTAAACACCCACACCATGAACGATCTAGAAGGCATGTGCAGTACCCATTGTCAAGTCGAGCACACACAAACGCATGACTGGCTCTACCCATCATTTCATTATTTCTTCTCGCCACACAATAGGTGAACTGAAACTTATTCGATCGAGTTGACATGATGTCCAATACAAACCAAACGCTGACAACTCCTCCCCCCCCCTTAACCTCCAGGGCAAGGACAACAAACTGGTTGATCGGTATGAGAAGGAGGTGGAGTCTGTCAGGCTGAGCTACGGGTATCACCACCCGGCCGTGGCGTCCGCTCTGAGCAGCCTTGCCCATGTGCTATTGGAGCAGGTACCTATTCTGAACTGAAAATCGTGCCTGCCATGGTCGCTGGAAGAAAATGGCTACAAGGTTATATTGCAGGGTGGTTGTACAAGTGGGCATACGGCAGAGGGGTCCACAAAGAGTACGACGCGCTCTAAATCAACAACACGATAAGAATGTTCTGGAACGACAGGAGCATACCCAAAACGTCGCGTGAAATCTTTGGGTTGTTAAACATTGTTTCAACGAATCGGAATCATCGCATGTTTGAAAGATATAGTGAGCGACTTTGCAGGAAATCGGCAGAAATGTTGCCACCGGTTTACAGCGATGCAGGCATGAACTTGTGCCCCGAGAAAATCGACGTTTCCACTACAAGTGGAACGATAGAGCCCGGTGTTATTCGACGTCAATGCGATACTATTGCTGATTTGCCCTTTGCTGCTGTACGTTCAAATCGATTATTCCACGCCCATGCCCCCCCACCCCCCCTCGGTGTTTGCCATCGGGATTGGGTTTTCGTCGCTTGGCAACGACGTTGTAAAACAAGCCCCCCCCCTCGGTATTTGCCATCGGGATTGGGTTTTCGTCGCTTGGCAACGACGTTGTTAAACAAGCCAATTCACTTCGTGAACTCGGCAACCAGGTTACCGTTTTTTTTTTTTTACCTCGGTTTTTTTTTTTGGCGGTAACCATAATGGTGGTCGAGTAGATCATGTTGTGCTGGATCGATAACCCTCACTCCGCGCAACGGGGGATGGTCGCACCACGTTGTGTTAAAATGGTCAAGCACCCTCGAGGCAGTTACACAGTGCTTACAACTGTCTCTGGAGGTGAAAGCACCAGAAAATAAATTAAGTCATACGTAGCTGTCATCCGTACGCAAGGAAGTAAGCACAAGATGCCGAACACCCTTAGCAGGATGCAGCTCACCCTTCATGCGACTCGCCAAATACCTCACGGCGCTTCGCGCTTGGTGATGTGAGAGCCTGGTCCGGTGAGAACCCGGCGTGCTCCGTCCCGGCTTTGTAGGGATGCGAGGTCAATGGTCTAACGACTACGGCATGCACGACGAGTACACCCCCCCCCCCCCCCCCCCATGTCTTCTTTTCCGACAATGCCCTCCTCGACTTCCCCCCTATCTGCATCTATGCATATCATTTCGGCACATGGGAGGTAACAAAGAATGAGGTGAGGAGAATCTGAGCCCCCCCCCCCCTATATCCCCTTCTATTCCGGGAATGAATGCCTTTGCCAGGGAAAGACCATTCCCGCCGGTGTTCGCTACAGAGAGGCGCTGGTGGCCCTGGAGGGCTCTGTGGGAGACGATCACCCATTGGTGGCGAATGCTTTGATGGATGTGGCGAAAGCGGATACCAACCAACTTATGCCCCTCCTCGACGGGGTGAGTCCCAATAGACACGTTCTAGGCGTGTTGATTGTGCCCGTTGCATTATTTGATGGTATCTGGTGGCATGATACCGTGCTTCGCGGTCGGTCATGATCCACGGCGGTGACAATAAGGATGATATGATGGAGTTCCCCCTCCCCTTGTTTCTGTCCTTTGGCGTGAACATGCACTCTGCTTGATCTCAACAACACCACGATGGGGACCAGGACGAAAGGCGGCTGCTCCTGAACACTCACAGCAGCGAGCTGTGCTCGAGAGCCCTGTCCATCTACGACGACGACCTCGGGCTGGCAGTGATCATGTTTCTAAGAGAAAATACCACGCCTCTCGTTCGCCTGGCTCACATGCTGGAGGAGCAGGTGTGTGGAGGATATTTGGTAAAGCGCAGTGTAATGGTCGGCCGTTGCATCAATTTATCATCCATGCAGCATCATGCGGTCCTTCGACCTGCAACAACCAAGTTACGAGGAAACTTTGATGCCGAACATACTGTTCTCGACGACAGGGCAACGTCAAAGAGGCGAAGCGACTTTGCCGGGCGGCGCTACACACCCTGGACGGGGAGAACCCTCTGGGTCGTCCTCAAGTCGCTGCAGTTCTGGCCACCCTAGCGGACCTGCTCGGCAAAGAGGTGCGATGAAGCGACGTTCATCGCACAGCTGGTACCGTAGGAGGGTCCCCGTTCAAGGGCCCGCAACGACGCGAAAATTGGGTACAGCAGCATTCCATATGTGTCCTTTTCGTGTCGGTGGTTGGGAGAAAACAGAGCCGAACCCCGTTGTCTCTTGGTCTCCTCGACTAGTCTACTGCTGCTGTGGTGTTTCCTGTTCGTGCTCTACCAACTTCGTGACTGCCTCCCGCATGCATGCTGCTTGCCACCTCAGATGAAAGTGGGAACATATCGTCGCGTGTGTTGACTGATGAATACCAAGCATTTGCTGCGCCACCATCATTGCTGCATTCTGCCGCCGGCGATGATGCTGAGAGATGCTGAGTTTTACTGCTGTTCTCCCCATGCTTTGCTGCCCTCTCTTGGAATGATTGATTCGTCTTTCAAACCCACGCACCCGAAGATGCATGGGTTCACGCTTCGGGATGCGTTCGCTTGTCCAATCACCGGCGAGCTCATGCGAGATCCGGTGGTTGTGGAGGACGGTCACACTTATGACAGGGAGGCTATCGAAATGTGGCTGAGGAAGTACGGAACTTCTCCCAAGGTATAGAGCAATCAATCTATCTACTTTTACGGCAGGTTCTAAACCTTTCGATTCAATAACTGGGTGCGAGAAACGGTATCACTCAATCCCTGATACGTCTTGAGTGCCACACCGTAGTCTTGTGCAGTTACCGGCAGGCCTTTGGCAGCGCAACTCGCATATTTTTCGGCAGGAGTGTGGAGACGTGGAGACTCTTGCTCAGTTTTTTAGTTGGTGGGTAGGTCTTTAATGTGAAAAAAAACTTCAACACGCAACTACATCCACGGCAATCTTTGTTGAATGAAATGTAGAGATTATTCTCTGAAGTCTCCTCGAGTTGGCAACCACGTGTAAGGGAAAGCACACCGTGGGGCGTTGAATGCCAACGTTAGGGGAGCGGTTCTCACGAAAGCTTGAAGCGGGTATCCCGGAGCGTTTTCAACTGTGTGATGTTCACTAGCGTTTTTGGAGGGGGGGGGGAGTCTCAATTGACGACGGATGGTCAAAGGCCATTGTGGCAATTGTCCTCTTCACCAACCACAATTGATTATTCTCGTTTTGTCATTCTCTCGCTCTCTGGCTCTCTCTCTCTCTCTACCAGACCGGTGAGCCCATAGAGCGTCTGCTGCTAGTGCCCAACCTGAACCTGCGGCGCCTGATCAAGGACTTCCTGATCGAAGGTGGCGAGGAACTCTATGTGGGCGGACGGGACGGTGATGGTGGCGACCAAGACGACGGGTCTGGGGAGGTTGATCGCGACGAAGGAGATGGAGGAGAAAGCGGGTGGGAGGAGAGATCGGGCACGGGGGAACATCGGGAGTGCCGCTTCGCGCTCGTGACCGAGCAGATACTCGTACTCAAGGTGTGTGTACCACGACGAGTACACCGACTGGTGATGAAGGATTCCACCTGCCGAAAAGAGGGGAGAACGTACGAGATGACGTTAATGAGTACGCTGTATTTGCGCAGAAATTGTTTTGGAATGCGTGCTATGTCCTCCGACGTTGGATGGGTCCGGCAGTAGTGCACGATCCCGCCCAGTCCAACGGCTTCGAACGAAAACACTGGGAGCAAGTAGCTACCATAGCAGGGCGGTAAAAGACAAGAGCTGGTGAGAGATCGTGCAACAGCTCCGTATTTCCCTGGCAACAACGCCCAAACTTGGTACATAATTTATGCATACGTGGTGCTGACATCCTTCAACCGCATTTGACAGTGCTTGGGAAGTGTCTATCCTGGCGGGAACATCGAGTCCTTCCGCGTCACGGAGCGTGGGTGTGTGGGCGGGCGCAACCAGCCGAATACGCTGGCGGGGGCGGAATTTGTGCAGATCTCAGACGCCACTGTGAGCAAGCGCCACTTCGGCATCGCCTTCGACAAGGAGGTGTGTAAACCAGCACATCTGCCGTGGCCTCAGCCAGTCCGATCAACATGTAGAAAATGTATCCTAACTGTTGCAGTTTTCGTTTCTGCTACAATGTTGTTTGCTTCAAAAATCAAGACCTTTTGCCGTCGGCCAAAGTTGCTACCCACTCTTGACTCGCCCGTTGCTACACGATAATTTTTCTCTCCCCGATGTTGGCTGTCTGCCTTCTTGCGGTGCTAGCTCTGTACTCCGTAACCAGTTTTCGACCCTGTCGAGCGAACAATTTGTCCTCAAGTCTCTCTCCCCCCCGGCTCTCACAAACCATCGCTTTTCACTGCGCGTGCGCTAGATGGGACACTATCAACGAAATATCTCGACGCGTTTGGTCTCCTTTTGACAACGGATGTTCGTTGCTCTATCGTAGGATCAGGGCAGGTGTTGTAGAGGAACGCATTAAGCATGTTTTTGTATTTGCTGGCAGCAATATCAACGACGACACCTTGGAGCTCAAACCCGTGCGCAGACCATCATGAGTGTCATGATTTCGTCGGACAGATCGGGGTAACCAGTGTGCTTCGTCGAAGCTTTAGAACCATGTTCGCAAGTCCAGTGCATTTTCAGGGACCCCTCGGGAGGTGGCAACGGTTCTAGCTCGACATTGCGTAGAGTTCAGCGTTGTGCCGAGTCTCAACTCGCCTGCTATATATCCCCCGGCCTTTTGCCTCGACGTAGCTGTTACGCCGCCCGCCGCTTCGCCGCTATCCAGGACAAGCTATTCTCGTTGCGTGACCTTGGAAGTGCCGGTGGGACGTTCGTTCGCCTGGAGTTAGGGGTGTCCACTCTGCTTTATCCCGGCATGATCATACTGCTGGGAAGGCACCAGGTACGTCACCAGCACAGCGCCAGACCGTATCACCCAGCTTGGAACTCTCCTCGTTTGCTGAGGTCGCCTATGTTCCCCCCCACTGTTTGTTGTTACGTTGTTAGATTTGCGCGTGCTGCACGACGTAGTCATGAGGTAGGAGAAGAAAACGTACCCTTGCGCTGCGGGTGGGAGCGCGCCACTTTGGTCCTTACAAGTCCCTTGCAAAGTGCCACGTTTGTTCGGCGACAACAACCTCGCCTCCCCCATCTTGTCTTGCCCCGCCCCCCCCCGACCTTCTTATTCCCAACACCCACCACCCGAATCCTATCGAACACCAGCTGGAGGTGATAGACGTGTCCTCTACCGATTCTGAAGCAAAGGCGGTCGAAGGTGATCGTAATCCCTTCGCTGTGGGGGACAAAGGCAGCAACGCCACGTCGCCTTCCAGCCCGTCAGCGCCCGGGAATAGTTCGTCGACGGCAGCCCGCCGCAGAGGCATGGCCTGCAGTATTGTTGGGAGCGCCGCGATTGTCAATAAAGGGCCCACGACGGACGGCGGGGAGCGAGAACCCAGGCACCCGATCAGCCCACAGCCGGCCAAGTCTTCGTCCTCGAAGGTGGAGCGGGGGCTGAAAGCGTAGAGGGTCGGGGGGGCGATGAACGGAGCGGGCGGAGGTTTGTCTAGAGGGTGTGCCGTCGCCAATTGCTGTCAGATCGAGCGGAGCACCGTGGCAGACAGGATAGCAGTTGGTCGCCCCTGCAGCACGAAAACACAGCCGGTGGGGAGCGGGTGTGCTTGACACTCCCGTTTAGGGTGGGGCTAGAATGTTTTGTAGGGAGCTGGTGCCGCTGCTATCAGTCGTGGCTTTTCGCCATTGGTCGTCGACACTCCGCTGTTATGGTCCCGTCCGTATCGATGGTGCGGTGTCTGTGTAGTCGATGTGGTTGTTGCTTGTGGATTCGATTCTCCGCTCATGTACGTTTCTTGTACGGTTTGTGCTTGCCCTTAGCAGCACGAAGAAGGAGAAGGAGGCATATCGGACGACGAGAAGGAGCTAGAGGCGGGAGCCAAGCCGGGCAGGAGGAATCCGAGAGTCTGCCTAGAGTGCTTCGCACCAGAAGGGACCCCGATACAGGCAAGCAACCACGTATCGCCGCCGTCCGCACGAGTGTGGGTGTGGGCGCTGTCTCGAGGGCCGGCAACCCCTCGCCGGTTCTCTGGGAAACACGCGGCGACGTTTCGAGATTTCCGTCACTCTGTGGTGCTAATCTGTGACTGCCAAGCTTTGACTTATTGAGAGACGGGATCAGACCACCGTTTGAGTTCGACACTCTGATCGGTGTTGATTTTCTCTATACCAGGGTCTACGTGTCTCCGGCTGAACGGCCAGCGCATATGTCTGAACTACGAACACACCCTTAAATAGGATACGCTCTTCCCTAAAACAACGGAGGAAACCCTCACATCTCGTTCTATGTGGGTTGTACCACCCGCACCCATGCAGGGAAAACGTTTCTTTGTGGGCAGAGAAGGGGCCACTCTCGGGGGGAGGAAAACCAACACGATCGCCTTCTCCTACGAGTCGGGCGGAACTGTGATGGGGATAGATGATTTCATCTCGGGAGTACACGCCAGGATCGTGTATGATGACGGAGGCGGCTTCTTCCACATCACGGACGGCAACTCTTTCAAGGTTTGGTTCGCTGTGTGTGCAGAACGTCCTCCCGCGATGTGGCTGTGTCTTGTCCACCACGAACACGGGGCAAGGGTGTATTTAGTGGCCGTCCGCAGCGATGTGCGAATCGTGTACGTATTGGATCGAGGGTGTGAAGTTTGCGGATAGAGACTGATTTCCCGACATGGTTTCCGCGAGTCCGGCCCATTCAAACTAATTCCCCGTCCCTGACGTTCTCACTGATATGTCTGGCCCCTTGTCACGTTGCCCCCCTTGAAGTCGTCGAAGAACGGGACATGGGTCCGGCTGAGCGGGAAGCATACGGAGAGCAGGCCGTACCCCCTGTCCCACGGTACCGAGATCCTGATCGGGACGGTAAGGGGCGGGAAGGGTGGGAGCATGCGTGAAACGATCGGTGTTAGACTAGCGTAGGCACGGTCCGAAGGGCAACTCTGTATGGGGTGACCGAGTTGGGGGGAAGGTAGCTGCACGCGTCGGCTCCCGGAGAATTATCGTTTCTTAAGAGGTGTGTCCTGAGGCGCGGCGATTTGCTAGTCGGTACGATGGGAAGAGAAACGCGTGGACGTGAACCCGAGAGCTGCCGATAAACGCCAAAACCAGTCAAGCGTGCCACCCACTGTGTTGCGGGGGTGGACTACAGGTCGAACGGTCTGACGAGCGATTAACATGTAGTTACAATAGCTGGAGCCACTTTTCCCCGCATGCTGACTTACTTCGTCATTTTTTTCTTGTTATCATCTCTGTCTCCCCTGTCAACGCGCAACGATTGGAACTGTAGGTTCCGTTCTCTGTGACGCTGGGGCGGTTGAAAAAGAGTTCACCGCCGAAAGCCGAGGTTACGTCATGTCGTGAGGGATCAGGACCATCGATCCTCGCACCCGCGGGGAGCGAACCCCGACGGCAATCGTCATGACGGGAGGGGGGAGATGAGCGCTAAGTTAGGGGTGCGTGCCTGCTGAACTATATTTTGTTTTCCTGACGTGCTGCTTCGAAAGAGGGTACGGGGTGGCTGGCCAAGCCAAGGGAGGCTGGGAGCTTTTGAGAATCGAGGTTGGTATGTGCGTGCTCGTCTCATCTCTTCTGGTGCAGCTCTACACACCTTTCGGTATATTTTTTCTGACGTATCAGCCGGGATTACACAGGAGGAAGGTCATTCAGGAGCTCTTTATTTTTGTATTATTTTTACTGCCCCACCTTTCCTTCTGCGGTGCTTGCCTTAGGTTTTATCACGAGAAGGATTCAATCGCCCCTTTGACTCGTTGATCGTGAAGCCGAAGTGTGCGACGGCGTCATGTATTGTATATATATATTTTCTACTGTATTTTCTTCCTTGCAGCGCATTCAGAATGTAAGTAATTTATTGGATTTGGTGAGGCTTCCTCATGGCGGCCGGTGGTCCCGCCCAAATGTCGTGTTCATTGATTTGTTTTGACCATCGCTCGGATTGTATTGAGACTCACCCCAAGCTCACGTTGAACTAACTGTGAACAAGTTCTGGAGCATGCCCACAAAGCAGCCTCAAAGCCCGGCGACGATGGGACCTCGGAAGCACCAGCATATCTCGCTCGCTTACTCTTGGCCCCCACTACGCGAGAGCTAGTGGTAGCGCCGATGTAGCAATCAGTAACTTTAATTGTCTTCCAAACTCCGATGAGCATGATCTCGTCCACCGTCGTTCCCGCGAGAGACTGGCTCAGCGAGCCTCCACTTGAAAGGGGTGCATCGTAAACGTGTGGGGCCGCTCTGCAGCATGCAAATGCGACTGCAGGGTGGCCGTCATACGTGAAATAGACAAGGGGAACTCCACCCCGGCCCCCACCTGCCGACACCACGGGGAAAAGGAACCCCTGCATCAGGACCCAACGTCCCAGCAAGTACGATGGAGGGCGTACGTAGATGTACTTGGAAACCGCGCGAAAATCGCAGCTGTGAGGACATATCCCGCGTCTGCTAAAACAACCACCACCTCTCTCGAACGCCTCAAAATCCTTCCCAAAATGGGAAACAGAAAAGCGATACCCTGGGTTGCGGCAGACGCAGTACCTGTGACCAAACGTGAAGGAAAGCTCAACTCCCCGCCGCATAGAGAGTAATGAGACAGTACAAAGAAAGCATTATCCTTACGCTCCGTCGTGGTAGGAGCAAGTTTAGCACGAGCTAGAATATGCTGCAGCAACGTAACTAGAGTGTGCACGAGAATGACCCGCGCTTGACCAGACTCCACTCGGGGCTCGCACACGTGTTTTTACGCATCTTTTCAATGGCATTCCACACTGAGTCACGACCAAACTGGTCTCGATAAGCCACTGTAAATTTTGAGACACACCCTTTGCTGTTGCGTGGCGCCAAATGGGTAGTGGTGTAGATGCTTTGTCAGCAGAATGAGGGACGTACCGCTTGGTAAACGAACCCCGGGCGGAGCGTCCTGTTCCGGTCGAGGACCCCGCGCTATGTTGGGCTGTTTGTGAAGTCACTTACAGTTCCCTTGTCGTTGAAGACGAGGAAGCATCACCAGTGAACACGTCGTCGGCAATAGCGATCTCCCACCCGCGGAGCAGGGATGTATGGGCACAAACGACCCATCAAAAACAATGGTCATATGGAGCTCTCCACTCTGCGTGAGCGGAGAGTCCGGAGTGTGGTGGCTATGACCTGCCACCGGAGGCTGGCTATTTCCTTTGGTGCGATGTGGCGAGGAATGCCAAGCGTGACCGAGCGAACTCAACTCAGTCCAGCTAGGGTGGTGCGGAGAGTGGGCGAGCCTCCGTGGATTCATTTTCCCATCCTCCTATAGATTCATCAACTATTCGCAGCTGTACCTCGACAGCCATCTTTTACTTTCGCCGGTGGCCTGGGCACCCAGCCACTACCGTGAAAGCGCGCTCCTTTCGAGCCTGTAGCCTACCCGAGTCGGTGATCATCGGCGGAGCTTGAGGGTGGCGAGGTACGGGGGGGGGGGAGGGGGTTGAGCACCGCAAAGGAAAAATACAATGTATTGCCTGATGTTCGGGGAACCGCAGTCGGAGCACCGTTCCCGCTGCCAAAACACGCCAGCGCGTGCGGCAGCCCCTGGCAGAGAGCTTGCCACGAAGCACCCCGACCATAGAAGGAAGGAACCGGTAAAGGGGGGCGAATACGGATGTTTACGAGGAGCCAGCCAATATTATCCGCTGAACGTGTTTCTGGCGGAAATCAACCTCATACGCGACCATGGAGCACCGAGGGGAACACCACGCGCGCAAAGAACCGTCTTGGCAGGGCCAATTAAGAATGCCGGGTTGGGCCGCCCGAGCCACGATCCGTGTCCAACTGCCACCTGCTGCGCCAGCGGAAACCAGTACGACTTGGTGCCAGGGACGACAGATACCCTGCACGCGTCTGGCACCCCGCCAAGTTTTGTACGATTGCCCCGCCATCAATAGGGGGGGGAACCGAGATGCGGGAGCGCTTGCGTAGCCGGAGTTTGGAGACGTTGCCCGCAAACATGTCCACCCTACAGTCGCCATCCCAGAGCCGTTGAGTAGGGAGAAGAACGGCAGCTGGGGCGCCCCCCGGCGCGCCCGTTGAAACGACACAGCAGATGCCATCAGGGCCATGCTGCACGGGCCCAGTGAGTCCCATAATAATTCTTGGAAATCGCCGGACTTCAGGCACACAATCGACTCCCCCCCATCCGATGGAACAGGTGTCGGACGCCCCGTTAGAACGAGAAGCGGGAAAGTGCCCAGCGCACTGCCATGGCCCTTCGTAGCAAGCGGCGGGAAGCGTCAAACGATGGTGGAGCTCCCCCAGCGAGTGCGTACTGGAGAAGTAGTGGTTGAGGTCGACGTACTTGGACAACCGTTCGCACGGAAAAAATGACTCTCTCGAAAGGGCCCCGCGCCCGTCTCCACAACCCCCCCGCCCAAACCGACGGAGGGAGCGTCGGACGCCCCGTTAGAAAGAGCAGCGGAAAAGTGCCAAGCTCGCTCGCTGCCAGCACTGCTCGCCAGCGAGCCGCCCATCCGTAAGACAAGAACACTCTGTACCACGAATGGGGGAGGTAGGTGAAAGCCGTCAGTCCTAAAAATCGGGAACGGCTGAGAGTATGATTTACCCGAGGGCTCAGCGAATAGCCGAGTGGATGATGCATCTTTCGTACCACACCACCGTATAGGATATTACCAAGATGGGTGTGATGAATCGCGGATGCATTGTCCAAGGAGGTCATCATATAGCAACCTTTCGAGCATGTTCGCCACACGGGACTCGGTATCCATGGAAGAGCAATGTAAATATCGCTGGTGTGCCGGTTGAGCGGGGGTGGACAAACATCATTTGCCTAAAAGATCGTACGTCAAGCTGGTCAACAGGAGGCACCGCTCAGCCTGCCGGAGGCGTGAGCAGGTGAAAGAACCATGGATAACAGCTCTCCCTCCGGATGAGCTTCACGATCTACCGTTCATGTCCTGTCCCAGACCAGAACATGGCTGGGGCTACCAGCTCGCGCCAGTACGTGCTACCGCAGAGAGACCGGGCCATCGACGTGCCACACGTGAATCTGGGAAGAAATTGCTCTTCCGTCTAATGAGGTGGTACCCGTGGAAGAACTCAGCTGTTCCAGGCAGCAAAACGAACGTTAACAACAATGTTGGATTGCAAACCCATGTGAAATCAATCGATCACGTGACGACCTTGCTAGTTACTTTACCAATGGTCATGGTCCTGTTTCAAACGGTACAACCACATCCCAATACTTCGGCCGTTCCACCTGTTTCTCTTCATTTATCCGACTTACATGTGTCATCTACAACACCAAAATCCTAGGCAGAGAGGCGCGGACCACTGCTGCTTGCTGTAAACAACAAATAACGCATGTGGATGTCTGTTCCGACCAACTTCCTGGCTTCGGTCCGGTGTTGGAAACATTGCATCCGCTTTCGAACGTTCCAATGCCCTTCTGCCGACATATATGCTGCAAGCAACATGCATCCTGCAACATCAACAACAGCATTTATTTACAGACGTATGCCATTGCTGTACACTACAACTAACGCGACTCCTTGTGTCCACACATGAGCACCCTGTCAAGCTGTGTTATCCCACGTGTGTCTTGTGATCCACAGCAACGGCGGATATGACAAGCACATTCGTATAACAATCATAACAAATCAAACATCATCATGATCTTCCGATCCAAATGCATTCAAACATCACTTCCAAAAAGAAACACGGAATATCATCCGGTTGGTTCACAACAACAATCAATTATTCGTCATCTACCTGCGACGATACGTGCCCATAGCCGGAACGCTGCAATCTCCACGACCACACGGCGCCCTACAAACTACTGCATACTCTGGTGGAACCGATCCTCTCGCGAACGCTGAGGTGAGACACCTGAAACATTGTACGCGTTCGCAGCCATTGGTCGACACAATATGTTGGGACTCTATAGTACGCTAACATGTTCGGATGGCGACGCGTCCACAAGACGACTGTGGCCTAAATAGACATAGTGTAGACATGCGAACAGGATGTCAATTACTCCAATGAAAACTACCTGTTGTCGTAAACGCCTTGACAACATTCTCGTATGATCCCTTAACGCTGTGTATGCATCTCCTTCCTGCAGAAACCAATCAACGAAAAATGGGCGATTCTGCACAACCCTCGTCATCAGTATTTACAGCGAGCGCCGAGTCTAAAGACCATTCGGGATTCGCCTCTCCTTTTACTTGCCAAAGGCATCGTCTTGGGTACCTTCCCACCAAAGCGCTTTTCCGGTACCGACTCATATGCGTCTAGACTAATGGTCAGAAATTCGATGTGCCTAGATAGATCTATCGCCAAACGCGACCAAATTATCGCGAAGCCAATACGTGACAACTCAACATTGATTGGTGGAACCCATCAAAAACGACACATACAACAATGACGTTGGTGTTGCACATTGTCGTCGTAGATAGGGTTGACGAAAGTAAGGTTCTTTTATGTTGTGTGGACGTTTATATGTTGTAGAAGACCTACATGATGCCGTCTTGTTTTGTGTCTTCTTTTATAAATGGGCTACAGTACGTCGTCTTTAGGGCCGTATCAACAGTAATAACATCATAATACGCTTGCCTTCGGGCACTTCCGGAGGGAAGAAAAACACCTTGCTTGTCCGATTGGACCATCTGTACATACATATCAAGGCCGTGCCATATCAGGGGTCTATACGACGCGTTGTTTCCTCCCGTGAGCAACCAAACATGAAACCACAACAGCTTTGTTGTTAGCTTTCAACCATTAGACTACATCGCGAAGCCCGGCAGCCTTACTTCCCACGCATGGTGGCCGCCCGCCCTATTGGGGGGCGGCGGGGGGTCAATCGTTTCCCCTAGTACAGTGGTATTCTGCCCCGTCGCCTCAGCCCCCAGTGTTGACGCACTACTGTACGAACAGCACGTCGACGGTGGATCGACCAGGGCGGCCGCACTTTCGTCGTTCGCTACATTTATGGAGGATATGGAGGATAGCGCAGTAGACTACCGTACTGCTGTAGTATCACACGCGTGGAGGCTCACACCGGAGCAGGACAGCAAAACGTCTATTTAGACTAGTCGCTGCTGTGAGGCGGTTGGCGACGTCTTGAGGAACAGTTCGCCTGGGCGTACGAGAGGGCGGAGTCTAGATAGATCCCCCTGTTGTTATTTAGCGAGATCGGTCCAGCTGTTTTACGTACCAGCACCTCATGACAACAGCAGAGTATCCTTTCCGGCGAGGCCTCTTCGGAAAATATTCCCGCTTGAGAAAACAAGATTTTGATCGGACGGGTAAGAAACGTTCCAAAGACCCGAAGAAATTTATTTTGGAACGGTCGTCAAGTTGTGGCCTCATCGTGAACTTGAAGAACGCATTTGCGTCGCGTGTCCTTCGCCACCTCAAAACGTCAAACCATCACACCCCGACCGGACGAACTGCACCGCTACATGGAAAACAAGGTGAGCAAAGAATAAGGCAAGACCTGACTGACTTTGTTATTATTTCGGAGTTCTGTAGCACGTGTTTGTAGATCACGAGATGGATCCGTTCCGAGCTTCTGTGTTCTTGCACAATCCCGCAGCTACAAGGTGTGGTCTGTAGCACATGGCGGCAACGATTCATATGAAGTCTGCCCTCGCTGGGAGGGTGTCTTGAAGGCGGATCCTTGCGATACAGTCCCTGCGTGAACATTCCAGAGCGAGAGGGGAAGGTAAATGGATAGAGAGAGCTACAGGAGACACATAGACACCACGGACAGATCCGCCTACATGCAGCTCAACCCTTCATCTGCCTCACTTTTCGAGGAGGTCTGCCCGAGTGGGATGTACATTCCTGCCATTGAGCGCCACTTGCTGCCATGTCTGCAACGCTCCTGGTCCTTGAGCCGAGCCTATGTCGAGCCCCACTCCTGTCAGAGCAGTGCACCTAGTTGTATGATAGACTAAAATGTGCTGCTGGACCGTGTCGTCGTGCGGGCATGCACGAGCAGTCTGTGTACATAAAAAAATCGAGGAATCTCCCGTTCTTTCGCAGACGTATGCATAGCGAGGGGTACAGGTACACCACGCCGCACCGCTGCTGTGTGGGCCGAAGTTGGTCATCTACAGTAGATCCACACAGCATGGCATTATGCGTGTAAGCCACACGGCATTATGTAGCGGGATGAAGCACAAGCAAGTACTGCTGAAGTGATGTGGCCCAAATGCGGCGTTCTGCGGAACGGTACGAGTGCGTGTACTTTAGAAGTAATTCTCAAGAAGCAAGACGACCATGGACGAATAACCCACGCCCATTGATATGATGGGTTCGTGCCCGGTTGTGGCCAGCAGGAGGAAGGCAGGATGAGATGACGGGAGATCCGTACTGGAGACAGAGTTTAGAAAACCAAAACATGCGGGCGTTCGTTATTTTTCAAGAGGTATACCTCATCACTCTCCACCCACAGAGTTTACCCTCAGGAGCGGAACCCATTGGGACCACGCCGTGTATTTCGATGATGTGTGAAAGTTGTTTTTCAAGATCGAGTCCAGGAGGTGCCCTCATGACTTCATAGTCAAGATCCGTAAAATTGTCAAAAAAAAGTCGGGAGAACAATGCACACAACCGAGGTATCGACCCAGTGCCCTGCCGACGACGCGCCGAATGTGAAGGTGTACCCATTTGAAGAAAATAGATTTAGGGCACATATAAGAAGTGCATTCATTGGGCACGCGCGCCCGGGTTGGCAGTCAATTCCGCCTCCTAAGGCCGCACTGGAGTTTGCAGATCCTCTTCAAGAATACAGGAAACGCGAACCTTGGTTTTCCAAACGCTAACTCCAAATCAATCTACCATGGCGTCGCAACCGTCCGCTGTGGCCGCTGGTGTACAATGTTTGCATTTGAGATTGTAGCCCTTGCGATACACTACGGATTACAATAGCAGTCCGCTATTTCCAACCGATCCTTTTGCCATCGAGATCGGTGAGGTACAAGCAGGATTTGTAGCTGCTGCGCGGTCCGATTTTCTTGAATACTTCAAGCACCTTTGCTTAACCCCTTACCACGCACAGAAAATTCGGCGTTCTTGCGAAATTTCTGAAATGTAAGAAAAGAGCGAACGACGCCTGCTGATTGGATGGTGCAGGCAGTTCCATCCCTGGGTCCAAGTGCAAAGCTGCCTTCCCACTTGAGCCGTCTCTTGTCTATAATCTCTATCAATTGTCCCCTCCATACGAGGGGACATTTGATAGGGATTTTAGACAGCAACTGGCGGGAGCGTGGTAAACGGTGCACGAAAAGGAGGTTTTCAAGATATTTCTCAAGAGGGAAAGCGAGACCTTCTAACTCAAGCCCTAGGTTGCTCGGTGCCTCCTATCAACGGTGGGCTAGGTACTTCTTCCGCGCTTGCCCCTAGAAGCGCTTTCCACCCAAGGGTAGACAGACGCGGCGCAACTTTGCTGTTGAACCCGCGGCGTAATCGCCCCGCGATTCGATCTGTTCATTACCCTCAAACTCCTCCACTCTCCAAAGCATCCATACTAGACTAGAGTCGTCCCTGTGTACCCTGGCACCCCCCTGGTCGAGTAGTGCAAAGGAGGAGACAATCATGCCATTCTTCGCGAGGTGAAGCAGCTGAAGAAGATGGGGACAAAAAGTGTCCCCAAAAGGCGATCCAGCCCTAAAGGCACCTACACGTTCATGACCCCACAGGCATTCAAAACGACTACAAACATGCCGATGAGTAGGATATGGGGGGGAAGAGCTGCGCTGAAGTTCGCGGCCCCACAAATTCATTACTTGTCTATTGCGAATGTCCAACCAGCCCCCCTCTCCCCTCTCCCCCCTCCCCCTGAAATATTGAATCAACCTGGGACCCAAAGCGGAAGCGGCAAGAGGTTACGGCCGACAACAGCAGTGTTGCTCAACAATCTGGTGCTACTCTTACTACGTCTGCTACACCGAGTGCGACAATGGATAATGTTGGATCACCAGCGGCCTCATCTTGCGACAGCGGATCGGATTCAGACGGATTTGTCCACGTTTCGAGCGGGGAGGACTTCGTCATGGTGCAGTCGTCAAAGAGGTCTCGGGCGGAGGCAGGCGCAGCCCCAGCAGCAGCATCATCGGTGGGGGTAGATGCCGCAGGTCCCGCTGGTCCCGCAGGTCCCGCAGGTCCCGCGGGTCCCGCAGGTCCCACCGTTGGCACCGGTGGCGGTGTTGGTACGGCTTCGCACAACAGCGACCAGCAGCCTGCTACTTCTATTAGCCGTCCTACGGCTTTCGCTAGGAAATTGGCGTCATCCATCGACCGCAGTCACGCAGCCGCCACCGAGGCCGCCACCACCGCGGCCAAAGCGGCCACCGCCAACATCACCGGCCCGTCTTCACCACCCGGCCCTTATTACCCACGCCTCCACCAGCTCCAGCAAAAACGTCCTCCACGAACGAAGGTAGCCGCGGTGTCCCCGGAGGCGCCCCGCCTCCCTTCGCACTACGTGGAGCGGTGGGCCCTGCTCGAGAAGGTCGTCAACGAGCTCATCGGCAAGAAGCATCTCGACAACCGTCACGCCAGGAACAGCAGCACCACCAAAAGCGGCGACAACCAACTTCACAATAATTCCACAATCGACAACAACGGGTAAGGGCATGCACGAACAACAAAAGACACATTAGGCTCACCAAATCGAAGCTCTGGATCCGCGGGACGTGTGTGTGTGTGTGATTCTTTTGGGGGGGGCGGTCGTATCCAGAGACCCTTGGGATACATGCCGTGCTTCTCTCTGTGAATGGCATCTGGGCCTAGAGACCGCCAGGAGGTGGCGGGCACCCGCACCGCCCAGGTTCGTCTTAGGAAAGCTTCTCATACATGCCTCGATGCACCAACCTCCTCTGGGAGCCCCTATTTAGCACGCCTGCCACCCGTTTGGCCCAGTGGCCAGAGAACAATGGGTCACTTGAGCTACCGTGCGTTGAAGATTGAGTAGTCTTCATGGTAAACAAACTACCAATACATGGAGACAAAAGAAGGACCAGGTACGAAAAAAGAAATTGTTTCAGCAAACTTTCGGCGTGGAAGGATTTTCCGGGATCGAAAGCGACAATGAGAAACAGGCGCTTCATCGTGCCTGCGTGTGTGTCTCCACACAGGCTCTTCGTTGGGTAGCGAGGTGAAAGAACTGCAGTACTGCCGCGTGAAATAACGGAGACGAAAGTCCGAAGGTCGCAAACACTCACCGAATGGTTCGTAATCTGTCGATGTTTCATGGTATTTTCGAATCTAACCCCCTACTGAGCGGCGGAAGGTTATGTGCCCGAAAATTATTTTTCGCATACCCTTGGAAACATCTCGCAAAACATTGCACAACGTTCTTCGCCAGGGGTAACACGAACACCAGCGGCGACGAGCATGTTATCGGAAACAACAACAACGGCGACGGTCGCGAGAGTGCTGCCTACGCCCTGCTCGGTGACAGCGGGTCGGGGAAGACCGTTCTGGCGTCGGCCATCGTCTCTCACCCCGAGGTCCGCAGAAAATTCTGGCGAGGAATCTTCTGGGTCAGCCTTGGACGTGCGGGTGTGACGAGAGCAACGGCAGGCACAGGAGGAGATCTGCTGAGAGCTGTGTTTCACGCTCTGGCTGCGCAGGTGGTTGCGATAGCCCATCCGCTCCCAGCCAACAGTGACGAAGCCGCCGCCGCAACCGCACTCCTTGCCCGGCCAGCAAGCCCTGGGGAAACCCTCAAGCAGCTGGCCTCCTCGAATGGGGGTTCACGGCTGGGGGGGCAGAGCCGACTCCTCGTTCTTGACGGCATCAGCGAGAGCTTCACCGACAACGTCAACGCCGTGGCCGAGCTGCAAAGGGCCGGGTTTGTGGTGCTGGTGACCGGCGAAAAGCCGTGCGCGCTGTCGCTCCTGCAGAGCAAGCGGACATCGTCGCCAGCAAAGCCGGAGGCTGGCTGGGACCTAGGGAACGGTCGTTCCACACCGCAGCACTGCCGATTCCACGTCAGTGTGCTGCAGGCCGTGACGCCAAACGAGGCGGTGGAGATGCTGCTGAAGAGGGTGAGGCGGCCGGGTGGGGCGGCAATTGCGTTGGAGGCGACGACACCCGCAGCTTGGGCGGAGCAGAAGGCCGGTGATGCTGGTGACCCGGGCGTCGACGCGGCGACCCGGGCGTCGTTCGAGTCGTGTGCTCTACAGGTGATTTAGCTTGACTGCTAGATGTGGGAGTTGGTGTGTGGCTCGGTTGACTGGGTATGCACGTTGATCGATCGGTTGACAAAATCAAGGCAGATAAAAATTTAAAATCCTTTGCTTTTCCCCCCCTGCTTTGTGACATTCGCGGCGCGAACCGCTCCAACTTTTCCCAACAGGTAGTCAATGACTGCGGAGAGATCGCACCGCTGGCTCTCGCTATCGTCGGCGCAGTAGTAGCCGGCCAGGATGAGAGGGGTGGCAGGCGGGACAACTCGCCGCCCTGCGACTACGCTGAACGCTGCCGTCAGATCGAGCGGCAACTCATCCGGGATCATGATCGTTGTGGCGACGGCTACGCTTTGAGCAGGGTGATGGAGTTGGGGTTTGGCGCGCTCCCTGGCGACAAGACGAAGGACTGCTTCGTTAGGCTGGGGGTGTTGGCGGAGGGAACCGTGGCTCCGCTCGACATGCTGTCCAACCTTTGGGGGCAGGTGATTCACGGTAGTGATATGATGGTTCTGGTGGCGGAACGAATGGAGAGGAGGACGAAACCAGGCCACGGTTGAAGAGAAGCTATGCTTCTCTCTATGTACTCTTGCTTGTCGTCGTCGAAACACCGCTCTCTTTCTGTCTCTCTCTCTCTTGCGCGCGCTCTCTTGATATATCTCTCTCTATCTCTCTCGGGCGAATTCGAAGCGGATGCGCGAAACGCATTAGGCATAACTTCCCTTCCTCCTCCTCCCGCTCCCCATCGCCTGCTTCTGTTAAATACACGGTAATGCAAAACCCGACAAAACAGGATTCAGAGCAAGACATCGTACGGACCGTCAACGAGCTCCTGGAGAAATCATTCCTCATCGAGATGCACCCGGGAAGCCGCTGCTACAGCATCCACAACCGCGTCCTCGCCTTCGCCAAGACCAAGCTCCTCCGCGCCGGCTCCAGGCCCGACGGGGTCGTCGGTTGCCACTGCTACCTTGGATTGGACAACGCAGCAGCGCCAACAACGGCAAGGAGCACGAGGGAGGTCGCCGTGGCCAATCAGGTGGGCTACCTGAGCCGCTCGAGCACTCTCTCTCGCTTCTCTTACTCCGGCGGAGGAAGCAACGGCGTCATTGGTGGCGGAGCGGGAGCCACTCGTGGTTGCGGCGGCGACGGAATGATGCTGGGGGGGTTGAAGGCTCTCGCAGCCCTGTGGCAGTCTCTGGAGGATCTCCGTTCTGGCGACGGCTGCTACTGTGGCTACCAGACATCCGCTAGCAATGACGCGGCACCGCGACCGCGGCCGTTTGTGAGGGATGCTTATGGGGCTTCCTTGCAGGAGACATTCGCGTGCGTGCCGGCGGCGTTTGGCTACTGGGCAGCAGCGAAGCTGCTCCAGCTGCAGGTAAGTTGTGACTCGTATCCACGGTGCTGAATCACCCTTGTGTCAACATGCGTTTAACACTCGTTTAGACCAGCACCATTTTCACCGGTGTGGCTCTCAAGATATCTGTGTTCTGTTGTCGTCTAACCGGCTTTTGGCCGTTTCTTTTCGTTGCCGTTTCTCGAAGAAGACCCGGAAGTAGACTTGATGCCTTTTTGGAATTTGCATCACGAGAGGTCGCAAAGTCCACCCTTCTCATCTTCTCGCTTGTCTCTGGTTTCACCTAGGGATTCCTTGAAGATGCCAAAACAATGGCGAGGAAGTCTGTACGCATGGGGCACGCTCTCTACTATGCTGACGCGGCCCAGGCCGAACGACTTTTCTCCGAATCCGCGCTTCTCAGGGTGCAAAAGGTGAGTGGGTGCGAAAAAAAATTTGGATCTGTCTTTGAGAAAGCGGTGATCATGGCATGAGAGATGACGTGAACCATGTCAACAACAAAAACCGATTAGATGCCAACATGTTAGACACGAGCGGCCTTCATTGAGTCCACTCAAGAGGGCTGCCAGTGTTTCTCAAAAATCGACGGTGAAATTATTACCACAACAATTCGATCCCTTCCCACACCCAAACGATGAACGAGTTCGGCATAGCATGCCAAAAATACTGAACTTTATCCCACGCAGTGCACCCTGGGGACGGGGACGTCAAGCGGTAGATAATGTAGTCAATTCATGCCATGTTTAGCTCTACCCGTGTTTCTCATCACGTATCAGATTAATTGAAACGAATTTTGAATTTTTGCGTGTGAAGTGACCACCCGTCTTCGTGCACATGCAAAGCGCTCGCAACCCCCGTTCCCCCCAGGGCATTGACGACGAATTGGTCGATCGGTATAAGAAGGGGTTGGAGTCTGTCAAGCTGAGCTACGGATGTCGCCACCCGGCCGTGGCGTCCGCTCTCAACAGCCTTGCCCGTGTGGAGCTGGAGCAGGTATGAATACGTTCGAGATCACCAAATTGCTTTTTGTTCGATAGTTGATGAGTTGCACAAGTTCGATAGCTATTTCAGCGTACTGTCAATTGAGCGTGGAACAACACAAGTTCAGCAATGCGTGAGACACTCTCGCGGCTCGATTGGCCAAAAAAGTGTGTCACCGGTTGAAACAAATAACACACTTTCCGAGTGTACGTTAGAGGGTATTTTCGCACCGCAGATGGTATCACATCGCTGTCGCGCGAGCAAGAGCATTGTTGTTGTTGTATTGATATAAACACTCCTCGAAAAACGGCATAGACTCGCTTCCTGAACTTGTTGATATTCTTCACCTAATCCACTCCCTGAACTCCCCCTTCCCCCTTCCCATGCCTTAGTTTTCCACCAGCCCCCTCTCCCCCCTCCGGTTGTCTCAGTTCAGACGTACCAGGGCAGTAGCCAGAGACTACTGTATTATAGTATAAGGTAGGCAAACGCGAAGTCTTTCCCCCCTCGACTGCTTCCTCCCTCACCTTTACTTTGCACCTTGCTCCTTTGTGATGGGCGTGCGTATTGCCAGCACAAGCCTATCCTGGCCGGTGTTTGCTACAGAGAAGCGGTGAGGGTGCTGGACGACTCTCTTGGGGATGACCATCCGATGGTGGCGAAGGCTTTGATCGATGCGGCGGAAGCGGAAATGAAGCAATTCGTGTCGCTCCCTCATGAGGTAGGTCCAAAAGAATGGTAGAAGGTGGATTTAGACGCGCGTACAGCACTTGCAGCACAAACAATTAACAGAGTGTCGTCGTCATGAACTGGTATTAATTGTGTTTGCCCGTGTCAGCAGTAGCCGGACTGTACCCTGCTATGAAGAACATGCAACGAAACGGAGAGCTTAGAACACGGTTCAAACCAATCATGCCGCATTCCTACCGGCAACGCTCTGGCCCTGTGGAGCGTGGAAGGTAGATTAAGTGCGCCCATGACCGGCACGGTGTGGTAGGTAGTTCGCAGATGTGCGTCCCTCAGAGACAGTTAGTAGGAGTGTCAAAGAGGGGGGCGACAAAAAATATATACTAAAGCTCCCCGTGTTGTTTGGGGGAGGGGGATATTCCCCTTCGCACCCCCAGACGCGTACTCTATACCGAATGCGCACATGGGATGATGTGATGCCCCCCACCGCAGGTCTGGAATACGGTCAACCTCTTCGTACGCAGGACAGGCACCATTGCGCGAACATCGTCAATCATCGGCTAAAACATCGCTAACGTGTTGTCGCGTTGTTAATGGGCCCGACCAATGGCATGAATTGACTCCTAGTCACAGCCGTAGGGTTTGATCATTGTAGTGACGAGGAGTGAGACGAGACCGCCTTAATATGTACGAATGTAATTCGCAGCAATAGCATTTGTATGCATACGTCTCATGTGCGAAACACACGAGGCGACGCACGTTGTCCACCGAATGAATCAATAATGCCTCGATCGGTGTGTATGGTGAGAGGTATTTACTAGTAGTTGCGGTCCCTGCGCGTATTTGATATTTGGTCATGACAATGCTGACGTACAAAATGACTAAATCGCTTCCATTTCTCGTTGCCCATCTCATGTGTCGTCAATGAACAAATTGCTTCACACAAACCCTACTACTGTTGTCCATTCGATGGAGACCAGAAGGAAAAGCTGCTACTCCTCCGTGCTCACGTCGGCGAGCTGTGCTCAAGGGCCCTGTCTATATATGACAATGACCTGGGGACGACAGGGATCATGGATCCGTGCGAAAAGGCCACGTCCTTCGTTCGCTTGGCTCACATGTTGGAGGAGCAGGTGTGTGCACGACTTGCAGTGACGTACCAGCAGATACGCGTGGGTATGCCCCTCTAGCAATCATCACATCGTTCCCAGCACCCCCTCGATTTATGCCATGCGTGCACATGAGTTACGAGCTTATACATACCATCGACGACAGGGCAACGTCAAAGAGGCGGAGCGGCTGTGCCGGGCGGCGCTACGCACCCTGGAGGAGGAAAGCCACCTTGGGCCCGATCACGTGCATGTGGCTGCTACTCTGGTCACCCTAGCTGACCTTCTCGCCAGCAAGGTGCGACAAAGTGTCATTCGCCGCACTGATGGTACCGCAGGCGGCCGCCTTTAAAAGGCGCCCCTCCCCGGCAAAATCAACAGCATTGTAACCTGGCTTCGAACGTTTGCAATGTGAACCATCTGACCCTATACCCAACCCACGTTCGATCGCCATTCCTTTGGAATCACCAGTTACTCACTGATTCGCTTGTAGGAACTGTTGCTTCCTGAACTAGAGAGAGTGAGAGAGAGGGCGGGGGGGGGCGGGGGGGCGAGACAGCGAGAGGTAGCCGAAAAGTAGGCTCATGTTGTCCATGTCCCAAGGGAACTTCTTCGGCTATGTTTCGGACTCTGAGGCACGGCTGAAACCTGAGGGTGCCATGCCTGAGCACAAGTCACAGCCGGTCGCCCCGGTGGTCTCGCGTAAGCAGTAGAGCCCAGGTTAGGAGAACCAAATTGCTTTGTGCGGGAGCACATGCTACAGGTTGGGCTAGGCCCTTGGACCACAAGTGCGGTAAGCCGAATCAGACATCAATATCAAAGAGCGGAGGGTCTGGCATCAGACTAAGAGCCATGCTTGGAAATACGGCACACATGCACTTTTGAGGGAAGTGGGAGTTTGTTGCGGCAGTCTGCCTCAGATTCCACGGGAAAGACGTCCGCGGACACCAATCTGGGTTGGTCGTGGACGCGTCCGTGGATGTCTATAGATGTTCGATGGCGTCGTTGTCGGATGTCAGATCCAGCGTGCGTGGTCCACGGAGGCACCCACAATATTTTCTAGGGTTATCCTGTGCATGTGACTGCAAAACTTCGTTCTCGTTGCAAAGTTCTAGACTCGCAAGGTTACGCTGCACGGTAGACCGGGTTACTGTCACGACAGTCACAGTTTGAGCTGAAGTCTGAAACGCGATCGAAATACCCAGACTACGCACGGACGCAAAGAAGCAAACAGCGCTCTCCGCACGGGTCCTGGAGGGATGTCCTGAGACCGCCGTTGCTACACCTCAACTAGTCAAGGGATCCACCCAAACCGTAGCCTCTCTATCCGTTATATGGTGTCCAATCCGAGAATTGAACTCGGGATTATCTATCCGTTATAGATCTGCAGAGGACTTCGTGGTCCTCTGTGATCCCTGGACGTTGTGCGCACGTTTGCACCCTGAACGCCTTTGGACTATGCCAGGTGTGGGCGTTGTGTGTGCATTACGGTGGTAGTCTTCTTTTTGTGTTTTCTTGCTTACTTCTGGTGCACCCAACCATTTCGCACCGAGAGCAAAGCAGTCGAACTTCCTGTCATCGACCGCAGTGTGATCCTGGCTGCAACCCGCGTTTCCTGCGTACCTCCACGCTTGGTACCTCACAGGAGAAGCCCCAAAATCCACCCTTACACAAGCATCGACCGGACGAGACCACCGAGCTCCTCCGCCGAGCTGTTGGCATCGGAGAAAGCTGGTTTCGTAACGACCTGGCGCATGAAAAGCTGGCCCTTTGGCGCAACAAGCTTGCTGTTGCTTACACCGACCAGGTAAGCACAATGTCCCTGGCCGCACAACCCCCGAGGCTATGAACACACTGCTAAACAGCTACTGTTCGTATCTAGAGCGCACATTTGATTGTGGTGACTAGAGGAGACCTAAACAGCATACATTCAGTGTTTTGAAGGATGTTGTTGATGCTGTGCGAGTGGTGACACCTGGGTGCATTTGTTCAATTTTAAATGAATGTGTTCATTTTCGTCGCACCCTGCCGATACCGTTGCGAAAGTCACTTGTGCTATGCACCGCGGTTATGCCAATACCTCCGATAGGTAGTTGCGATACTGAACTGCAGCGGCTTGATACTGATGCATTCAATGTTGTGAATCATCGCTTACCGGGAACAGACAAGTGTCCATTGGTGCTGTGGCCCCCTACCGGTAGGTGGCAGCTTGACGACGTGCAGCAAGTTGTCACCAACATGGTAGACCGCCGCAAGAGTGGTTTTGGTAGTAGTGTTCTAAAAACGAAGAATTATGCTTTTGCCTGCTGTAAAAAAATGCGTCAGCTTGTCATACAAACATTTTCTTGACTATTCCTGATCCTCTTTCGTTTTTTTTCTCCGGCGAGCGCTTAGGTATTAGTGCCATGTTTTCTATGATTAACAGATGCCTTCCGCATACTGGATACATTGTTGCTTTGCAGGACGTCGCACCGATGACCGGATGACGGAAGACAACATCGGGCCACGCCTGCCGTATACGCGCATCTTCGTTCGTTCCACTGCTGACTGCCCTCATTCTTGTATTCGTATCATCTACCGCAGGGAAAGCATATCGAAGCCGCCTCGCAGTACCTGAAGGTGATCGAGAAGTGCAAGGAAGAGCCGTCTATCGATCAAAAGGCGATCGTCAACGTGGCCCACGGGGGACTCAACACGCTCGCAAGTATCGTGAGTGTGCCTATTTTGGGCGGGATTTAGTGCGTGTGTCCTTCGTGTATACTTCCAAGTTTTATATATGTGGTACGCAGCAATGAACACAACTGAATTCATTCATTTGCCAGTCGCTACACCCGAAGCAACGATCAGTGCATTTCTTGACGCACCAAGGCGGGGGGACATCGTCGTTGTTGAGCTTGTCGACGTGACTGGTGGATTGCTCCGGCAGATGTGGTTACCTCTGCCGGGATGTGTGCGTTCACAAAGATACACTCTCTCGTCTTCACCCCTGTCTTGAACCTAGCCTGTCTGAGTATCCTCGGCTACTCTTGGCATTCGTCATCACATAGAAGAGCGAGAGAGAAACTGCTCCGCCGGTGAACGGTTGCCACCACATTAAGGGACTGACTTGGTAAAGGAAGGGTACATCTTTCATTGGTGTCGACGAAAACTCGCCGCAAAAGCCCAAATCCACCTGTTGTGCTCGCTGCCTTGTCGTCGTGCCTCACCCGGGGGACCAGCCAAACAAAAAATACCAAAGTTTTAGTTTTTCTTAGCTAGAAAGGTCGTGTCCACGACAACAAAGGGACAGGATAACTTACCACCCATCGCCAACTTTTTAAACGTTTTCATTTTCGTTGTCTCACACGTATTTTTATTCTTTTATTTTTTCTCATGCGTTTGGAATATTGCACTTTTTGTCTCGAATGGTACCTTTTCAGGCCAACTTCGATGAGATCATGACCCAATTCATGATCTACAGCAGTGGTGACCGGCAGACACGCGCCAGTGGCGACAAAGCGGAAACAGCGACATCGGCGGCGACGGCAGCGACGACTCCCCCGTACCCGCCCATGTCCGCTGCAGCTCCGGGCGTCTTCGGGGCCACCAACGAGGCACCGGTCTGCGCCAACAACAACACAGCGCAGACAGCGACATCGGCGGTGACGGCAGAGACAACGCCCCCGTACCCACCCATGTCCGCGGCAGCTCCGGGCATCTTCGGGGCCATCGACGAAGCACCTGGAGTAGCGGCCACGGCAGAAGCAACAGTGCCGACAACCCTTGGCGCCAGCACGTCCACAATGGGCGGTGGCAGAGAAGCGGCGGAACCTTTGTCCCACGAGCAGGGCAGGGAGGACGACCAGCCCGGTGAGAGTGTCCAGGGAGAGAGTGGCGAGAGTGAAGAAGAGGAGGAGGATGAAAGCGGCTGCGAATGGGAAGATGATCCAGATGGAGAGAGCGAGTACGCCGAGAGAAGGGTAGACGACCGGAAACACGAGGACAACTGCGGCGACAAGAACGGCTTGAGGGGTGGTGACAACAACGATGACGAGCAGAAATCGCTGGAAGCTGCTGTGTTCTACCTCTACGCAAACAACCCGCGGAATCGATTCGCCGACGAGATTCAGATCCCGTTGGGTGAGGACGAGAAGGAAATCATGGACCCAGGCCTGCAAGAGGCCTTGTCGCTCAGCATTCGAGACATGTCGTAAACTCTCCCGGGGTAGGTGCAACACATGCAGCCGGCGAGGTTGGGGGCTAGCAGAGAAGTTCCAGAGAAGTTTCTCACCGGCACCGGGATGCGCGATTGAAGGGGGGCTGAGGCAAAAAAAGCGGGGTAGACTGTTTCTTCTTCGTCAAACCGGTGTTGTTGCCGTGGCCTCCCCGTGTATTTAGTTATTGTGACTTCAAAAGACTTTTGATCGTAGACAACATGGGTGGGGGCGTACAGAGATGGGAGGAGAAAGAGGGGGCGAGCACGAACCAAAGTGGTGGTGCTCGCGAAAACAAAAAAAGTGATTTACAACGGTCTCTTATCGTGATTTATAAACGATTCTTGATGCTTTCAATTTCGATGTACCCGTGAACTCGCGTTGAGAAGGTGGGCTAGCACGAAGGAAGCAGCGAGTGTTCTCTTGGACGAAGAATATTTTCTCGGCCGCAAGTGTTCGGCTTGGGAGGACGGAAGGAGGTGGAGCGTGTTTTTCGTACATTTGGCGCTGATAAAAAAACGATTTCATGGGGCGGGGGAGGCACAGAAGAGGAGCTTGACTCGTATGATGACGGGGTGGGTTGGGCAGACAGTAGAGGGGCGGGACAGAGGGGAGTGAGTTCCTCGCAATACTCACGGAGATCTCATTTCGGTGCAGGTAAAACAGGGAGAAGGGAATATCCCCATAAAGGTTTCGGCTCTGCAGTGCGAGTTGGCGTCTATCTTCTGCGTACTTACGTGTCGGGATTGTACAATGAAACACGAGAGCGCGGCGCATGAGGAGGGTTGGGCCAATGCACATATTTTGAAATAAACGTTTATGCCATACACAAACGCCGCCGTGAAATAGTAACGAAAATCAACCTATTCCAATGTGGTCGTACATCCAAAAGGAGCTGCTTGATGGCACGGCCCACCTCAGATGCCTCTCAGCACTTACCCACGGAGGCAACCTGCAAAAGATTCCTCAATCTGCAATGGGTCCCTCTCTTGTGTAGAATTATAAGGTTGCTCATTCAATTTTGTGCGAGTACCGTAAGAATCGGAGAGTTGGCACCGGGTGCGATCGTTTTATTAAATGTTTTTTCCTCAGTTTTTTATCACACCCTGGTGCCATCTCTCCGACCCCGGTGCGGAAATGCAATTAAATCATTTCGTTTAGAATTTTCAAGGCACCCCGGTTGCGATCTCTCCGACCGGTGCGATCCCCGATGAAATAAATACACACAGGTGTTGTATGCACGCACCCCGGTGTCATCTCCCCGACCGTTGCCCTAGTATTGATGGTACCAGTGTAGGTACCCACGCACGCACACGGTCTTCTGCACACACACGCATATCTGAGCCGGAAAAAAGGCGGCGAAATACACATACAACATACCCCGAAAAAAGCGGCGAAATAGCGCATCTGAGGTGGTACCAGTACACACGGTATCAGTTGTTTCCCGCTTTCATTTCGGCCTTCTTCTACGGATACCAGTACGTACGCAGAAGTACAATAGCTTCGGGTTGTGTAAGGTGGGGTAGGGTGCGGCTTGTACGTTGTGTGTTTTGTTGAGTGTACGGTTGGCAACTTCCATACCAACAAAAATATTAAAACAACCACCCGCGCGAACCGCGACCATCCAATCGTACGTAAAAGAGTGGCGCTCAGCTGACTCCGTCCCCATGTGTAAAAGGTACGCACATGTACCTCATTCCGGCAGCTGAAAAGGAGTCAATCTTGGATTTCGGGGTCGGAGAGATCGCACCGATCTCACCGCCCCCGGTGCGTAAATCGAACTAAATGTTTTTTTCTCGGGTTTATAATCGCACCCCGGTGCCATATCTCTCCGACCGGTGCCATCACTCCGGCCCGTGCCAACTCTCCGACTCTTACGGTACTACGGGTGGTCGATGGCACCCTTCGAAAGCACATGCATCCGCAGCCACCTTCGCAAAAACAAGAGCGCAAAACGATAGATGGATGCCACGCAGCAGACTCCTTACAATAAGTATCACCGGGTTCCACACTGCATCTCAACGTGATCTAACAACGCGCGTTCGTGAGGCATTCGCAAGTCCAGACCCGCTGGCGGTTCATGCCTTTCGTTTGTATCGCGTTCTGGGTTGAAATTGGTTTTGATTCATCACGTGCGTGATCTGAACAGTGCCCATCGTGGAGAACGAAAGCCGAAAAGACAAACCGACTTTAGGTGCCGCTACATTTGAGAAAAAACGACAAGGTCTAGGTGTGGCGCTAACCTCGAAACCTTTCTACCGACAACAACAGGTTGTTGTGAATTCGAGTCTCCCTCTGGAGTGAAAAAAACTTTCGTTTGCGGTGGTACCAAGACACTGAACTGCAAAGAAAGGTTCGTTAAGTTGAGTCTAGCACCGTCGCGGTACAGGTACCCATGAACCAATTTGACACACGGGACGCACATTCCACGAACCACGCAGATGACGTGAAACTCCTCGACGAGTTTCGTCGGCGTTGCCTGTCTGAAGCTTCCTTTGTTTTTTTACGGGAAGCCGCAACTTACTACCGCAACACGAGCAGGAGACACAGCAAGAAGAAAGCGACTTAGACACTGAGAGGGGTGGCCCCCGGCGGCAGAATTTGCCCCGCGGCGGTGGCGGCGGCGGCGGCGGGTGAGACGGCCGGGGCACAGAAGGCAGGAGCGGCAGCATGGGCAGCAGCGCTGGCGACGAGTTCATTCGCAAAGGAAGACTCAAGTTCCACCCGAAAAGGAACAGTCCACGACCGAGTGGACAAAAAAAATGCATTACTTTACTGTAATTCTCCCCCCACGCCCCTGTGTATAGGATAGTGGGAGTATTGGAGAAGGAACATAGCATTAGTGAGGGCCGGGCAGGTTTCCGGAAGAAGAGGGGGTGCGTAGACCACGCATTCACGGTAGGGAGAACCATCCAAGGTAGAAAGAGGGCGGGAAAGCCGACGAACTGCCTCTTCCTGGACGTGAAAAAGGCATACGATACCGTATGGAGAAATGGGCTGTGGAAACAATTGTCCAAGTACGGGATCAAGGGGAAAATGTGGAGAGTGCTGAAGAAGACGACAGAGTGTACGAAAAGCGCGGTCATGCTAGACGGAGAACCGTCTCAATTCTTCGATATTGAGCAGGGGGTCCCACAAGGTTGCACGCTGTCCCCAACATTGTTCCAGGTGTTCATCAACGATTTGTTGGAAGTCGTGGAGGCAGTCCGGAAGGGGGCAAAAGTAGGGGACACGGAAACTTCGATGTCAGGAATGCTGTTTGCGGATGATTTTGTTGGTACATGTCGGACACCCCTGAGGGACTGCAACTACACATTGACGCGGCGAAGAAGTTTACTGGTAAGTGGAGATTATCTGCCAACGTTAATTAAGAAGAGTGTCGTCATGGTATGCAACGAGGACAGGGAGGAACCATTAGAACATAGATGGAAGTGGGGGATCGAAGAGATTGCAGTAGTAGACCAGTACACATACCTCGGAGTAGAGATCGCAAAAGACTGCTCGTGGAATGCACACGTGTCCAAGGTAGCAGAAAAGGGCAAAGCACGAGCGGGGAGGCTGCACCCAATACTCGCAAACCGGCACCTCGATACACGCATCAAATTGACGGTTTTGAAGAGCGTAATCGTACCGCCGCTAGAGTACGCCGGAGAAGTATCAGAAGGAAATAAGAAGGTCGAGGCGGCGCAGATGAAAGCAGCGAAAATCATCCTAGGATGCTCCAAGCGCACAAGTAATGCAGCCGTTAGGGCAGAATTGGGGATCCAATCCCTACGGTCGGGAAGAGACGCAAGGAAGCTGACATGGCAGTATCACATGTGCGGGATGGGAGAGGAGAGGTTGTCGAGAATAGTATGGGAGGCGAAGTGGGCAAACAAAAAGAGGGGTAGACAACCCACGGAATGGGTCAAGGTTGTAGAGGACGTATGGAAGGGGTTAGACATCGACGAACATGAAACGCTGGAAACGGAGGGTCTACAGGGGTTCAAGGAGAAGATATCTGTTGCTTGTGCCGAGAGAGAAGAACGGAATCTAAGGAAAGAAACCAAGGATAAGGAGGGTCTTGAAGTGTACGGAATGTTGAAAGAAGAAATAGGTTTCAAGGATTACCTACATGGACCAATGGATGCAGGGACAAAGCTGAAGGTCAAATTCAGGACCGGGGACATAGGCCTTCGAGAACGTCGACGAAGACATAGGACAGTAGACGACGAAGACGACAAGTTCAAATGTGATTGCGGCTTCGAATGGGAAGACCGTGTTCATGTAGTCGCGGAATGTCAGTTGTACGAACAGGAGAGGGAAGTGTACATGACTGAGCTGGGAAAAATACAAGGGAGGTACAGGGAGATGTTTGAGGCATGGAATAGAGAGGAGAGGACGGTAGTTGTACTGGGGAGTAGGAAATGGTTTGAAAAGGCGGGAAGGGATATCGTTAGGATTGACAAACTAGGGAAGACATTATTAAGCCACCTTTGGCAAAGTAGGAAGGAACGATTGGCCATCGGTGATCGGTCCTGTGGGAACAATGCTCCGTCCTCTCGAGGACGCGTGGTCAATGGTCTAACCACTAAGGCATGCAAAACATAAGAGTACGCCCGCCCCCCCCCCCACGCCCCTGTGTATGCATTAGTCTACTTCTTGTGCCTGCTGATCTACGAACATACATCTGGTTGCGCATGAACACAGCCAAAACTAATGCTGCTAGATCAGATCACCCAGAACCATGTTCTTGTGGTGAAAGGCTGTAGTAGTAGCCTCTCTCTAAACGATCAGCTCAGAAGACCACCAGTAGAAGGCGCTCTCTTGTTTGTTATCGTACCCAAGGTACGCTGGGTAGAGAGATCGGAATGTTTGAACGGTTTTCATGTGAAGACAACAACAACCCATGGCGCACGGTGACCATGGATGCAGTATCGCAGTATCGTATGTACAATAATAGTAGAAGAAAATATGTGGAGACCAGGAACGAAATAATTTCGGGCGAAGGAGAGATGGAAGACCTGTCATGATGATGCTGGTCCAAATGTTGGGAGCGGGAAGTGCTGTGCGTGAGCGGTGTGTGTGTGAACGAGTGGATGGAGGGGGCAAAATACCTGTCTGTGGGCCCGGCCAGGTGACAGGATGTGGCAAAGAAACACGCCCCCCAAAATAATCAGCCTGACATACGCGGGTGGTGGTGGGTGGGGGACTCCAAGAAACTTTTTTCAACTTGCACATGGCATACTGCTGCTCTGCAGACAATTAGAGAGAGTTAGAGAGAGACAGAGACAGAGACAGAGAGCAAGGGGGTCTTCGGCGATGGGGGTGTCGACCGCGCATCCCAAGAATGACACGTACAGAGGGCTATATTTCCTCTCAAGCCTGTGTGATGCAGACGAGCAACGCTCGTCAAGGCCCTTTGATTGTACTTCTCGCGAGCACATCCGGACAGAGAGAGAGCCGGACTAAGCGGGACTAAGCGGAGGACCCCAAAAATATGCAACTTTCTGGGTTTTTTTCGCCATCTCCCCAACAAAGAGACGGAAGGGAGAGAAAAGAGAAAGGCAGAAAGGTGGAGGGCGTGTAATATTGCCGCGACTCAACTGGAAACTACTGTCACACATGCTCAGGAGCCCGGATACACACTGGTGCATATAGACTAATAGGCCAGTTCACTCAAACAGCAAACAAGTACCGCAAGTCATGCGCGTGAAAGAAACAAGTAAAAAAGCGCGCATATGCATAGCATGACAGATGACATGCTCACGAACAACCATGGTTGATTGCTGTCCGTGCACGTTGTTCCGTGAGAGACGCGCATCGCTACGCGAGCAAGGCGCCCAACCCTGTGAGACAGCATTAACCTTACTTCGTGGATGCCTGTGCTGCCTTGAAGCACTACTACTACTATGCTATACGGTACGCATGAAAGTCCTTCCTCAATCAGCAAGACACAAAAAAAAAAAAACGAATTGTGATGCACCCGACCCTCTTTGTTCAACCGCCCCGTTTGGATGGCGAAACCGACAAGGCCGACTCCTTGTCGGCCACAGGAGGCGGAAGCTCCTCAAACTCGGGGAGGGGTCATTATCTGCGATTCCCCACCGAACCATACTCGAGCCATCGCGAAATTTGCACTGTACTGTAGCTCGAGGTCAGCATTTGGGACCGGGTCGGGCAAGGGGTGGGGGAGTCGAATGAACTTCCACGGATATTGGTCTGAGAAGCTGAAGCGAACGCTCCAGAATTCGCAACATCAGTCCACAACCTCGCCGAAAATACCAACAAAGCCACTGGAATGTCCCCAGCATCTACTATACTCTCGCCCTCTTCCTGCTGAAGCCCAAAAAAGGCCGCTCTGACACCCCATTAGCAGTTGTTCCCTCGGCGGCGGAAGGGTCCACGGCAGCACCGACTGCTTTGGGGCAATTCTCATCCTCGACCCACCCGAGCGAAATACTTTCGCCCCGCGGGCTCGCGTCCTCCTGTCCCTCCTCCTCCTCCTCCTCCTGCTTGGTAGGAATATCTTGAGGCGTATGACCATGACCACCGCTGCTGTCGTTGACGCGGGTTCGCTTTCTACGAAGGCGGACGTCGATCATGCCCTGCCTGGCATGCCCCGCACAAAATTCGGCCCTTTTTCCTGGAGTCGCAAAGATCGGGTACTTGACGCAACCTGGGTGTCCGCACCGTTTTAGGCACACAATGACCATGGAACTCTCTGCGTGTTCCGCGCAGACTATCGGGCGGATGGTCCCCGCGGAGCCATAGGTTGGGTACTTCTCGCAACCTTGGTGAGAGCATCGTCTGCTCAAGACGTTGAACATGTCGGCACCCGCGTGTCGAGCGCAAAACAATGCCTTCTTGCTTCCATCTATACCATAATTTGCCTGGGTGGTGCAACCTGGGTGACCACATAGCTTCTTTTGGCCCGCGATGCTCACCATTCCTTTCGGAGCGTGTGGAGCACAGAATATCGAGGTTTTGGACCCATCGATGCCGTAAGATGGGTGCTTTGTACAACCTGGTTGAGCGCATTTCTTCGCGGTTACATTTACCATCCCATCGTCTGCGTGTCGGGCACAGAATTGGGCCTTTTTGCTGCCATTCGCGCCGTAGTTCGCTTGCGTTAGACAGCTCGGGAACCCGCATAGCCTCTTTTTGTACGCTCTGACCATACCCTCTTCCGCGTGTGTAGCACAGACAACTCTTTCGATGATGCCGCCAACGTTCATGCCGTGAGAAGGGCGCTTGTTGCAACCGGTCCTGCGGCAAACGTTCATCACCAAGCCGGTGTGAAGCGCACAGACCTGCTTGGTCGAGCTGTCCCCTACGCCACAACTCGCTTCCATGGTGCAACCCGGATGACGGCAAAGTTCCTTCGAGGTGATTCTCGTTGCCCGGGGCTCACGAGGAACGTGCAGGGCGCAGAACTCTCGATTGTTGCTCCCCGTCGCGCGACAACTCGCACTTGCAGTGCACCCCGGGTAACGACAATTCACGACAGCGCCGATGACTACCATATCGTCGCTAGCGTGCTGCTCGCAAAATTTTCGTTTCCTGGTCCCATCGATGCCGTGTGTCGGCTTTTTACTGCAGTCGGGGTGGCCACAACGCTGGCGGGAGACAGCGACCATGCCCTCCTTAGCATGCGTCGCACAGAATTCTATTTTGGTCGAACCTTGTGGGGCATACGATGGGTACTTGGTGCAGTCCGCATGGCCACATTTCTTGCTGAAAAGGTTCATCATTCCGTCAGAAGCGTGTCGAGAACAGAACTCCCCTTTCCTGGTTCCGATCACGCCAAAGTTCCCCTGGTTTGTGCAACCTTGATGACGGCATGGCTTCCTCTTGGGGATGACGTTCACCATACCTGGGGGTGCATGTTGCGCGCAGAATTCTGGCTTTTTGCCCTTTTTCGCGCCGTATGACGGATACTTGTTGCAGTCTGGGTGGCCGCAGCGCTTTCTGCCGATGTCGGTCATTCCTTCCTTCGCATGTTCCGCACAAAACTCAACCTTTGTAGTTCCCGGTTCTCCGTAGATGGCGTAGACCATGCAGCCTTCGTGATGACACCTTCTCACGCGGAGATTGATCATCCCATCTTTCGCATGTCGCGCGCAAAACTCTACCTTCTTGCTTTGTTGTGTACCGAAGTTCGCGTGAAGGGTGCAACCTGGGTGACGGCAGCCTAGGCCCTTTCTGGGGAGTATCCCTTTCTCTTTCATGTCCTCTTTGCCGTCTAATTGTCGACCCTTAATAGAGCATGCGCCTTGTCCTTCCGCCTCTCCACACAAGCGATACGCACTCGACGAAATATGACGAACGAAAAACGTGGTAGAACTTGCTGGTTCGAACACGGACGACAACGAGAGACTCCTCCAAGTGCTCTCCGGCTTTGCACGCCGGGTGCAAGCGTGATGCACCCACCTCTCCAGGTTGTTATACTGCTCAGTCCAGAGCCAAACTAGGAAGGAGCACTGGTAGGACGCTAACCGGCACGGAACACGAACCCTCCTGCTTCGCGGCGAAGATTCCGAGCAAACACACCACGGGAGGGTTTTCCCTTTGAGCAGAGGCAATTTACCACTGCACGACCTTGCTAGAGGGAGCAAGGAACGGTTGATGCAGCAAGCGTTCACACGAAATGCAGAATGCTGTCGACCGTTTGCGCGAGAGTTGCAACGCAGCCACACCGATCGTTTCGAAGTCTGTTGGACTAGTAGAGCGCTGTGCTTTGAACAAACACTGGGGATAAGGTGTGGTACCACCAGGAGCAGCAGCGTTAGTTCGTGGTCCATCTCGCCTGACACGCAAGCGTAGCCTGCTACTGTAGAGTTGCCCGCCATCGCTGGTCTGGTGTGCCTTGACAACAGTATACAGAGCTTGTTTGCCTCGTTCACGTTTGCGGTTTGTGTTCCTCGTTGTGAAGCAAAGCGTAAACCTCAGCGAGCATTCCCGCACGCGCAAAAAATTAGACGCAAATATACAAAGTCGTGGCGGCTCGGGGGTAACCAACACGGCCAACGCTCCCGACCCGACGTCCACTGGCCGTGTCCCTACTCGACATGTTGATATACAACAGCCTGAGCACGACGACAGCCTGGTTTGTACAGCCTTCTGAAGTGAGCTACCGAGACTACATGGCACTTGCGGCGTCGGTACGCCTGCCAGTGGGTCCGGGCTGTACAATATTGTTGAATACAGCAGAGGATCTGGCCACGACTTTGCAACGTGCCATGTGCAACAATAGAACGTCGAACGCTTGCCACAGATTTAAGTACCTATTGGACATGGAAAGAAAAAAAAGTTGTGTGTGTCTGAACGTGAGCACGTTCAGGTGTCCTCGCCACTGTGAGAATTTAACGTGCTATGCATATGGCACGGACAAACACGAATTCGTTCGTCGTCCATAGACTTGGGGGGCGTAAATTTTGCCATGTGGTAAAGCAGTATCCGTCGTTCGTAGTCTTTTTTATCTCATGCAAGGTACAAGTTCGCTAGTACTGTGTGCACTGTCTTACTTAGTTTGATCTGGTGGACCAATGAAGACACGCCAGTCTTCGCGGACATATAATATGTGTCGCAGAGTTGTTTCAGAGTGGTGTTGCAAGCAGACCACATACCCCCATAATGTTAGAAACTATATTGTACGCGTGCAAAAAGGCAATCCAACCATTTCTCCTGCGGTGCTGTTATTTTTTATCGTTCACTTTAGTTCAGCGCTTACACCACACACTTCTCGTGTCTGCCGTGTAGGAGCTCCGAATCCGTGATCACAGAAGGGTTCCTCTCCCTCCACCCCTCCTGCGGTGCTTGCCTTCTACCGAGCAGTGTGGTTGCTTGTGGCGTGCTGTAGCTTTCTGCAACTGAAGCACACTTTGCTGTGCTGGTGCACCAAAAACCTCGGCGGGAAGATTGTGCTCAAATCGCAAAGCACCTCGATCTCGTGCTACAAGGCCTAACCAGATAAGCGGCACAACTTTGATCGACGGGGTTGCTCAAGCTGGTATGATTTCTCTAACAAGATGTAGAGGTTTGTGTCTCCTAATAGGGCTCTCCTAGGGTTGAGCGCCATAGGGGATATTATAGATTTTTCAGCAATCCGCAGGGACACCACCCGGGATTCTTCATCTTGCAGTTTGACCAGTGAGAATATATATATCTACATGGTTGGGGGAAAAAACACCATCGTGGAGCCCGGGGACACAGGGGACGGCGAGGAGCCTTGCGTAGCCTGAAGAAGAAAAGTAGTCCTGGTCGCCGGTGTACTGCCGCATTGACGAGTTCTGAGCTCTTGGAGCGGGGGACTTTCTGGTTCGATTTCGGGGCGAGAGGGGTACGGGGCCCGACGTGAGCAGGCCCTGGACTCCGGGGAGTAAAAGGTAACCCCGTCACCTCGTCTTCAAATGTAATAGTTTAACCCATAGGTATCAGAGGTTTCGGTAGTGCAAATCCCTGGATTTCATTGCCTGCAGGTCTCCGCCGGTAGTCGGTTAACCCTCCTAATACTGGACGCCCAAATGGGGACACTTTGGGGACACAGCACTCAAACAGTCTGTTTACCGCACCGTAGTCGCCCTAGGCTCCGCTGTGTAAAACGCATGTGAGAACCCTTGGTCTGTCATGCTTGGGTGAGGTGGTACGCTGTGTGATATGCTGTGTAATGCCTCCTCCGCTCTGACTGGCTGTACACAATCTCCCCAGCCGCGTGTCACCCAGGTGGTAAACTGTACATAGTCTGGTACTGGAAAATTTTGCTGACTTGGCTTCAGCACGAAGAGTGTCCCCACGTGTATTGGAGAAACTTTTCATGCTGAAGCCAAATCACCCTTTGTCTGGCAAGGAGCTTAGAACCCCACGAGTCCTTTGGAGGGACTGTCGAGCCTCCCAACGACTGTCAATAATTTTGCGATATTTTTTGGGGGGTAGGGACTGCGTACTAGGAGGTTTAAACCACCACAACAAAGGATTACCTGTTCCAGAGTAGAAGGTATTACGTATGCACACCCCGGGGACAACGTTTTGGTATTTAAAAGAAAACATCCGGCGTTGTATTCTGTGGGGAGGGGGTTTCTTGTGTAGCCCGGGTGACGAAGTGTAGGTCGCGGGAGCCATGAAGGGGGTGTGATAACCAGGGTGTGTTATACCACTGCCGCATGCTTACAAGGACCAAAGGGGGTGTGGTAACTCGGTGTGCTAAATAGCACCCCATGCAATGCATGACCTCCGGTGCCTGCTGCCACGGGTAGGGGGGGGGGGGGGGGGTGTACTCATAGTCGTGCATGCCGTAGTCGTTAGACCATTGACCTCGCACCGTGGGGGGGTGGCATTGGGAGGTTTGACACGACTACAATGAACTACCCTAGTGCTGCCGCCCTTGCCGGCTGCGAGGTACTGAGCGGGGGTACTTCCACCGACATCACTGCCTACAGCGACTCTCCTGCCGAGCGTACATGAAAGTCGTGTGGAAATGAGGGGGTGGGAGGGTGACAACTGGATGTGATGAACCCCCTCATCACATGACCCCGGCGATGAACACCAACAGCGCCCTAATCGCCAACGGCGAGAGTGTTGACATGTAATATCACAACAAAACATCTATGACTACCGCCAGGCGTAAATGAGAATACCGCACAAGGCGGAGAGATAGCACCCCCCCAAAACCGATTTTCACAGCTCGATTGCTCCACAACCAAGCTTGCCAACAAAAAAAATGGTTTTGGAAACATCTCGTCAAGGGATTTCCGTCGACGTACCGGGCTCTTGCTGCACCCCCTTGGAGGTGAAGCAATCGACCTGTTTGTGGTACTTTGAATATGAGTCCGATCTGTTTGTGCCCTCTGGGGGCTACGTTTGTGGTAGCATGAAATGTGTGGGGGGGGTACGAGTGGACCCCTGAGAGAGAGAGCACGTAGCACGTATGTGTTCACTGCCTGTAGTTTTCCGTGTGTGTATAATATACATGACGACTACGCCCGTTCCTGGGATAACATTGATGGCACCCAGTCTCAAGACCGCTGACGGCGGTGGCGTCACGAACACGAGCTTTGAAAGTCACTCTAGCGGCGTTGTCATGCCAACGAGGTACTATGATGAGAAACAGAAGTATATTTGTATAAGAACCCTCCATCAGCCCACCAGCGCGCTGTGAGGCGCGCGGCCGCAGAGTGCAAAAAGCATGTATCGACTCCCCTTCCGAAAATAGAAGTAAGCTGGGGCATCCATATCTACGACCATACCATTCAAGACTCAAGACCGCCAAACAATCGAAAACTGCTGCTGTTGCACGAAAACCAGAGGGGGTGTGTTATCTTATGTAACACTGGAGGTATTTCGGCTCGTTCCAAACGTATTAGCACCGGGCGTTGTATATGATTCTGTAGGGGGTGTTTCATCTTATGGTCCCGTGCTATCCTGTCGTACGTTGTATAGGAAATGCACAACCATTCGAAATACATGCACAGCCGTTGTTCGAAGGCGCATGCGTTCGGGGGGGTCATACACATAATTGAAGGTTTGAGTCGAGGGAATCACAAAAAGTAAATATCGGCATCCCATGATACTTGCGTAGCTTAGGTCACGCACAACATACCTGGTATCCCTTCCCGTTCGCGCGAGTGGTTGTGTCAGCTCACAGGCCGTGTCGTGGTGTGTGGAAGTGTCGTGGTGTGTGTCTGCTCGGCATCTCTGATCAGCTGTGCTCCTGTTTAGGGAGCTCCGTGTCATTGGCCAATGTCCTTGGTGTACCAGGGTTCTAGATTATGTGCGGAGCTCCGTAGCCAGCCTCATGACTGCCCGCTGTGTGCGGCGCTGTTGTTATCTTGCTGATGGAGGACAGCAACACCTGATGGCAACTCCGCGGGGCCTACTCTTCCTGCTGGGCGCAACATTATTGTTCGCGACGCATGGGTTAAGACCTGTCGAGTCATTCACGTTGCACTTTCCGGTGTTCAGGAGAACCTCGCTGTTGAGCGGGGCCACGAGAGTATCACGTCGTCCATTTCCATCTGCACCGGCGTCGCGTTGCCGATGTTTTGCTAATGCCGAGTCTACCCAAACCGGCACGATTGGCGGAAGGGAGCAGAAACAGGGAGATCCTGCGGGGAAAGGGTCGTTGTCCACGCCGACGACGCCATCATTTTCGAAAGCACAAGATGAAGCTGGGTCCAAGGATGGTAAGTTGATGTTGAGATTTTTGAACTGCAGGTTCCCCATGTCACAGCGGTAGGTACGATACAGCATCGTTTTTTCATCATCGTTGTGGGTGCATCCAGCATTGCGCAGATACGTCCCTTGGCCACCATGCTCATCGATGAACTCTGATCTCTCTTCAAAGCTTGAGTGCAACGTCGGGAGTCTACCGCACACTGCTGTACCGCTGTACCATACTCTCGCATCAAAAACGCGGCGGAATCACCCCGCCCTCCTGGCGGAATCGCCCCGCCCCACCGCCGCCGGTCTGCCGCTACTTTTGCCGCACCTTCCCTGGACGCATGTTTGCTTGTATGGCGTTTGCTTAGCTGCTACATCGCCCCCTCCCGTGTGTCTATCAACCCTCTCCTCCTTGGATGTATCTCGTTGGTAATTTTCCTTCTGTCCAGCCGAGCGGAAAGCCGCCGGCCCGGAGCCGTCCTGGGTGCAAGACCCCGGGGAGAGCAGAGTCAAGATGTGGATGCGATCGGTGGGTGCACCCTTGAAGGATGTTTGATGCACCGCCCCCTGATGCTGTTGCTGATGCCACTACTACTGGACAGCGGTAGCACTTACGCTCAAAAACTCCGCGTGGTACACGGGCTATTCAACTGCTGATGGTGCTCGCTACCAAGTGGTGATGAACGCGGAGCCTGCTCCTGTGTGGGCTGCTATCTGGCTATAATTGAAAGCAGTTGCTGAGGCACACCCCTTGTTTGGCCTGGACTTGTTTTGCCCCCCGGTCCCACCTCGCACACACTTTGTCCCATCCTGTTCTGTTTTGCCCCCCCATCTCAGTTGTGAATGCGGCTCCGAGTGCGAATACCGGGTTCATGTACTTGCAGGATGCCTTTTTACGAAAACGAGAGAGAACTGCACATGACTGAGCTGGGAAAAGTAGAAGGAAAATATGCATACAGAGAGAAGTTTGATGCATGGAATAGCCACGAGAGAAGTGTTAGATAAAGACTACATAGCTGACTGAGTAGCTACTGAAATTATGAGAAGTGGACTGAAAAGGCGGAAAGTGATTTTGACAGGATAATTAGGTTAGGTAAAGCATTTTTGAGCCAACCTTGACAAAGGAGGAAGGAGCGATTGGCCATCGGTGATAGGTCCTGTGGGAACGATGCTCCGCCCTCTCGAGGACGCGTGGTCAATTCTCTGACAAGTATGCAAAACATGAGTACCCCACCCCCCACCTCAACAGGCGGCGAGCAAGGGTGACCACAACCGCGTGGCCATGTACTTGCGCAAGTACCGCGAGGCGAAGGTGCTGAAGGGGGAGTTGCCACGCATCGCCCTCTACAACACCGCCCTGCGCGCGTTGGATCGTTGCAAGAAGTGGAGACTGTGAGTGTTGTGCGTATTCTTTTACCAGCAGCCACTTCACGCCGACAGGCGCAGCAACGCCTTTTAGAAGGAAGAATGGAACAGACAGCATTGCTCTGCTTGCCTGCTGCCGCGATAGAGCAGCAGACCACAAACAGCTTAGACCAATTTGGTGTTTGTGTCATGGGCGGTTTCATACCGATGGGATTCCTCGGTTTTTGTTTGCTCGTGAAACACTACCTGGTATATTGTAGGGGAACGACAGGGAGGATACTCCACTCCGTCCGCTTTCCCTATTATCACCACCTTGACCGTTCCACCGCAACGCGGATGATCCAAATTTTGTTCGAAATTCGCAGCGAGAACGAGCACACTGCTGTGTATGAAAACCACCGTAGCTCCGTTAACCCATTTATCCGTTCAGCTCCCGTTCTACACCTATCGCAACAACAACAACAACGGTGCATATGTACAGAATGACAACAGCAGCAGCACTTTGAACAGTGGCCGTTCTCGTGAACCCGTCCATCTGATACCCGCCTCAGCGCCCTGAGCGTGTTCCGAGAGATGCAGTCGGACGGGGTGGATCCCGACCGCGACTCGTACTTTTTCGTGATGAGCGCCTGCTCGAAGCGAGGCGAGGCCAAGACCGCGCTAGCTCTCCTCGCAGAAATGAAAGCGAGGCGGCGGCAGCAGCAGCAGCAGCAGCAGCAGCAGCGGGCTGGGGGGGGGCCGGGGGGCTACGGCGAAGTAGAAGACGAGGACGGGGCACCCGCGCCAGACCTGCTTCTCTACGCCGTCGTGATGAAGGCCTGCGCCTGGGGAAAGCGCTGGCAGCAAGCGATCCGTCTGCTGGACGACATGTCCGCCGCCGGCGGTGAGTGCGGAAACCGAGGACACCCGTAAGAGATGGGATTGCGCCGGGAAAAAAACGAGTGACGCGTCTCTGTAGGAGTTTGATGTGGTCTCCATTTTGGCTTAAGAATCTTCATCGTATTGAAGAGATTTTGGTTCGGCGTATGCTACGGCGTCTCGCTGCTGTTCTCCTGCTACAACTACAAGAAACTACACCGATCACACACTACCATCGTTTCCTGTGCTATCTTGCGCCCGGTCAACCGTGCTGGATGCCTTGGGAGCCAACAACCGCCGCTGCGTTCGCATACGTGCGGCTACGGCTGCTCCTGAAGTGCCCGCCCGCCACCCCCCGCTGACCCATCCACCCCAACACACACTTGCTCTGTCGCGACCATGAACCCACCAAACCACCCGAAAAGTCGCGCCGAACGTGGTGGTGGTGAACACGGCTCTGTCGGCATGCGCCAAGTGCGGCCAGGTTTCTCGTGCCACGCAGCTCCTCCAAGAGATGCAGGTGCGAACATGGGGCTCTCGCAGAAATCGATTCGGGTACTGTACGAAGATGATGGGCGAATAGAAAACCCTTGCCCTTACTCCAACATGTGTGTCACGTTTTTTTATGTTTCGAGGAAAAGCACGGCAGCAACAACCTGCACCGAGCCGATCTCCACCGTGGAACTAGAGACGCAAGCTTTGCGTATGCTGTTCTCGTCGAAATGCCTTATATTAGCACGATATTAACGTACCACATACGTAGATATGTACGATTGGGTGGGTAGAAACGTGTTCGAGCAGCTCCCGAAACCCGAGTTTTTCCTAACACACGTCAAACACCCCCGTGTCCCATCGACTCCTCGTGTTCTTGAGAGGTCGGGCAAGCTCTTCAGAATTCGATCTAGGGGCTCCAAAATTTAGAGGCCATTCGATTTCTCGATAATCAGTTGTGCCCAATAGTCGTACTCTGCCAACCTTGTGTTCTATCGACGATGTCTTCATGTATCACAGGTGCATTTTTCGTCTGTTCCCCCCCGTAACGACGCACCAGGCGACGCACACAATGCTCCTCTCGTAATACAGCAGTATAATAGCAGTATGCCAAACTCTTCTCCCGTCGCTTCCTCGCACCTTCAGGCAATAACGATGACTTGAGACAGACTACAGCGGGCTTCTGCGTCCACATTGGCACCTTTTTTTTGTTTCCTGGTTGTCTCCCATCCAAATGGCGACGACGGCACGAAAGCGTTGCCGTCTTTAAACAAAAAAACGCATTTGCTTCAATCTTATTTTTTTCCTTTCCTTCCTCGAAGTGAAACGACCGCGACAACGTTGCCGTTTTCCACTTGAAAGAAACGTGTTTCTTCGTGTTTTCTTCTTTCCTTCCTCGAAACGAAACGAAACGACCACCACGCCGACGCCGCCGCCGCCGACGACGACGACAACGACAATGACGGCAGGAAAAGTACGGGGTCGCCCCGGAGGTGAGGAGCTACAACTCCGTCATCAGCGGCCACGAGCGGGCGGGGGAGTGGCGCGAGGCCCTGGCCCTGGCGAAGAGGATGGAGCAGGCGGACGGCGTCTTGCCCAACGTGGTGACGTTCAACTCCGTCATCGGCGCGTGCAAGACGGCCGGGCGGCCGGAGGAGGCCCTGGCCGTGCTGGGCATGCTGCGGCGGAAGGGCCTGCAGCCCGACGTGATCAGCTTCAACAGCGCAATCGGCGCCTGCGCCAGGTTTGTGCGTGCGTGATATGTGTTTGTTGTTAGCGCGGGTGTTGTTAAGATCGCATGTGTGGATAGCATGTGTGAGTGTGTTTTCTGTGTAGCAGTAGTGGTTGGTCGCAGCCAGTCGGATGACATGTTCAAACGGACGTCAACCTCGGCGGCAAAATTAACGTGGTGCACTTTTTCGTTTCAGACTAGTGACTCCTCTCGTGCCCCACCTGTTTTGTCGTGTCTTTTTTGCCGGCCTTGGTTCCATTTCGTGTACGATGTATCTCGACACGCCGCTCAAGGGATTCTTGGTGTTCCTGGCACTTGTTTGGGAGCCTGCCTCACCTTTTGACTGCCCGAGTAAGTAAATGCACCGCCTGCCCAATGCTACTGCTGTCTGCGCACCTGTAATCCCTTTGTTGTTTGTTCGAGGGCGGTTGGCGGCGGGTCCGTCTGTCCCTCTATCTTATTCCCTAAATTTCGCAAAAGATACAACAACAGATATTTGCCCTTGGTTCTATAACTTTAGCGTGAAATGGCGCAGGGCTGACAAGCGTAATGTGTCCCAACGTTTTGTCGATGCACCTTCAACCTCTTGGTCGTCGTTGTGCGCACACGCGTGCACACACACACGCCAGCGGAGGAAAGTGGGAGGTTGCTCTCCAGCTGCTGGAGCTGATGCCCTCGGAGGGCGTGACGCCAGACCTCATGACGTACAACATCGCGCTGGACGCGTGTGTCAAGGTGACGCACTTTTTGTGTTTCAGTTTTTTCTGTTTCGGTTGTTTTGGTGAGCGACTACTGATTTGGGATCATGTCCTTCAGAAACTCGCGCTGCTGCTGCTGCTGCTGCTGCTGCTGCTGCCGATGAAGGGTGCTCTTCGCTCTTTTTTATTGGCTCGTGTAGGCGTTGAAGAGGTCGGGTAGCGTGCTGTCACCGATCGCTGGAGAGGTGCTTCGCAAGGTCTGCAAGTGTTGTGGGGGGTCGTGTGTGTGTGTGTGTGTGTGCATATGGGTGTTTGCGATCTTCCCCGGAAAGGTCTTTCGCGAAGGTCTCGGCACCTATTGTCATGCTGAGCTGTCCCCTCCTCTTCTCCCCGAAACTCTTGGCCTGCCTCGCGGCGGTTGCCTAGCTCGGCACCATGAGAATCGAACTGGGCTTCTGTCACGGAACTTGAGGTTTTGGAACACTTTTGTTGCGCGAAATACCTTAAGGGTGTCGATCTCTGAAAATGATGACGGCGTACTCCTGAAGACCTTGCACTTCTTTTTCTGGTAACGACAATGACGGAACTACGGGAAAATGAAAGTTGGCACCGGCCGTCAAAAGATACGGGATTGCCGGTGTGTTTTTTGTGGCCGGCTCCGGAATGGTGCATGCAGGCTCAAATGAAGGTCAAACAAGGAATCGGGCCTCGATCATGTCAAGTAGCAAGTATCAGGTAGGCGCTTCTTGCATGCGGGGCGCTGCAACTGGCCTGCGACCCCCCCCCCCCCCCCCCCCCACAAAAAAAGCCCGAGTTGATGTTTTATGAGGATTTTTGTTAGAATAACGAGGGGGTCGAAGAAATGAAAAAACAAATTATCTTTGACGTCGCGCGAGAAAAAGTCGAG